ATGTTTACAATTGCTCAGCGGTTTAAAGGCAGAGAACACAGAAGATTAAATGTGCAGTATTCATGAGTTTTGTGCTTCAAGATGAAACATTTACTCAGGCAGCAACAAACACGTTAATACTTACATATGCCGAGAAATGAGTACGCTAAGCTTCAAAAATAAAAACACAAATGAGAAAATAAAGATCAAATGAAGCACAAGAAAAGCTTCTTTATACCAGCATGGAAAAAACAGATTTAAAACATAATTGTCCATGATAGTAGAATACATATAAAGCCTTCAATTTACATATGAGGTTTCCTTTTTCCTCCTTTTCTTTCTGCGCTGTGAAGTCGGCAGCAGGAGATAAAGAGGATCTTTACTACATTTGTGCTTCATTATACAATTAGTTTTAAGTTTTGCCACTATCGTATGGGGTGAGGCTGTCATAAGACACCTCTGTGTTGCGGTTACAGTTGTGAAATGTGTGTTTTATGTCTATTTAACACACTTTATAAACTAAAGCATCTTTTTGTAGACATTTTTCTCTTCTTTCTTGGCTGCCAAAGTCGTTGTGCTGACATTCTTCTGTCTTTCCCCACCTTTCTTCAAAGACATGCACATTTTTTCGCCTGTTCCTGCTCTAAATAACTCCATATTTAGTCATCTTTGTGTTGTATGCCTTTAATGTGTGGAGTTGTTTCCCATTTTCCTTTGTTGACCAATTTGGGATCTGTTGTAGAACTGATTTGTCCATATCTCACAGCTGTTTGGTTACATGTTGTGTACCCACGCTCTTCTGTATGCCTTTAAAGAACAAAATAAAGAAATTATATTTAAGGAATTTTCATTCATACACGAATGGAGTATTTAAATATAAGGCAGTGGCAATCATTTTACTAAAATGTGCTGGTTCTGTGCATTCTCATAACACTTGTTGCAAACTCTCTGCAAATTACATTCTGCTAAAACAATTTGAAAAAAAAGATAAAACAGCATTTTGTGTTCTTGAGTTCACCCAATCTGTGGAAGTTATCAAAGAGATCTGTGAAGAGGATCACTGGCCACTTCACACTAACTCAACCCAAGGCACTGGAGCACACTCGTAATTTAAAACTCAATTTAGATGCAAGCAATACCCTTTAAAAGAAAAGTATGCTTTTACTGTTACAAATGAGCCTAATACCACTGATCTCTTTATATCCTAGAGTTGTTCTCATTTTTGCTGAAAGCTTTGATTCGCTGTGTTTTGGTAGGAAAGTAAAGATACTCAGGCAGTACTGACAGCTTGAAGACATTTGCTGGTGTTGTTATCAACAAATTCAGTGAGTTACACTTTGTACTTGAGGGTAATGGATTAATTAAACTGTTTGTGACTAATTCAAACAATTATTTCAATAAAATAAATCATTGCTTGTACTCGGTCTTTCATTTGTAATTTGTCACCATGTTGCAGCACATTTAAAGACACCATCCACATGCTAACAAAAGCCACATCACTGAAATTCACAAGACTGGGACCTGCTGTCACTCACGTACTGATTGAGAGGTCTTTTAATACCATAAAATTTATTACAAGTTGTCTGATGCTGTGAAAGATTTAAATAGGCAGTAGTTGTGAATCTAGTTGGTTGAATAGAAACATGATATCTGTCATGATATCTTCAAAAACTGCAATTATTTCTTCCTTATTCCTGCTTAATGTAATGAACAGTGTTAACAGTTCAGCTTTTCATAGAGCATTGCCTCCCAGGGCTAAAAATATAGAATAGGACCTCTGGATGGTGTTACAGAACAGATTCTCTCTTTGAAAAGCATGAATGTGGTCAGCAAATGTCAGGGCAATCAACCTGTTGTTGTTGACGTTGCGCAATATCTTCTGTGGAAGTGGAATTTTAATGCAACAGCGACAGAGGAAGGCTCATTCAACCAAAATTTACAGGGTCCTCTGAGAATAATGAGGCCATCACAGGATTTTGTTGTTTCATTGTATTTAGCCCATTAGATTTTGATGTATTATGTGTAACAGTGGAACTTTAGTCCATTAGTACATTAGTATTAGACCACCTGGGTACCATGAATATCCAAATTTCATCCCCAGACACAAAAGGGACTAAAGAATTAGTCAAATTAGTCAAATTTCTTCGCTTTCAATTTGCATTCAGTAACACTCTTTTTTTACGATTACCTTTTCTCATTTTAACTTCCAATGTGTATCCTGGAAAGAAAGAAGAAAGAATAAAACCCTCTATTAATCAGAGAAGGTCAGCTGAACATACAAACATATGAAGACTAAAGTTTAAAATAATAGTTGAGTATTTCTGCTTTGTACTACTTCATACTTCTACTCCATTAAATTTTGGAAGCCAATATTGCATGCTTCACTCCACCACATTTATTTGTTAACATTTATGAGTTACCGAGCACGATCATATTAATGCAAAATATAAATCAACTAATACATCATAATGTATTATTATGGATTAAGCCATAGAGCACAACATAAAGCAGAAATTAGTGCCATCTTTACCAGCTGCAGCACAAGTGACACTTACACACATGGTTGGATTACTGAATGGGGCGACCAGGCACAAGCCCAAGAATCCAAGGTGTCAGGGCCCCCCTGGCCCTCACCTGCAAAAAGTGACTCAAATTAACACACACTGATCAGGCAGAGCGTCAAAATGACCACAAAGAGACACAAAACACCACAAAAAGATGCAAAGGAACTGCAAAGAGAGACAAAATAGTACATAAATGGGCAAAACAATCACAAAATGGGAGAAAACAACCCCAAAAAGATAGAAAATTACCCCACTAAGCCACAGAATTACCTCAAATAGACCCAAACACCTACAAAAAGGCACAAAGCAGCCACAAGGAGACACAAAATGACCATAAAGAGATGTCAAACCACCGTAACGTCTGTGTGTCTTGTGCCTGTGTAGGAGAGGTGGTGGGGCCCTTTGCATATTTGTGTCAAGAGGCCCCTTTCTTAAAATCTGCCCATGCTTACACATGGATGCATCACTAATTAGGCCTATAATGAACAACAATATAGATTACATTATAGAATTTACTTCTGATACTCTGAACAAGATTTTGAATGTGGTACTTTTACTTATAACACTGGTATTTTAATACCAGTTACAGAACACAATCTGAGCAGGCCTAACTCTTCCATCACTGACAACAAAGCACTTTTTGGAAGTAGACTCTAAAATTTTAGTATTCATCCCAAATCCAAACTTTACTTTACACCCCTCACAAGTTTGGTAAGCCTTCAAAGAATCCCCAGCATGGGAGCATGGATGTGGGACAGAATATTTATCAGGGAGCCAAATGGAAGAAGTTTGTATCATGTTTTTCTTCTTTATTGGTTTTTAATGGTGGTTCACTTTCAAAATGTGGGATTTTTGCCTTGGAGCCCTCTGAATTAAAAAAAAAAAAAATAGAGTAAAATCTCATATCAAATCCAAAGACATTTAGATACAGTAGACCCGGGGTCATACTCACAAACATTCAGAGAATACTCTGAGAGCTCCTAATTTAGCCTAAAAATTTGTCAGAGCAACTCTGAGCTAAAAAGGGATGGAAACTTTTACCTTAGTGAGGAGGTGTGGTTGACCCTGTTATCATGTGTGATGCATTCTTTTAACAGATGTGATTGGTTGTCACAGACACACCCTTTCGTGAGCCTGCAAGGTGTGGACACCCAGTGGAAATGAACTGCATCACAATATTAAACAGCGCAAGTGTCCTCACTGTTTGTGTGATCACTCTGCTGATGGAAGGTTGAGACCGTCCCATCATCACTGCTGCACTGTTACATTTTTTCAGTTTTTCAATCATCATAGTGGTGTGATAATTTTATTTCTGGTGTTTAATCATGTTGTATAATTATCATTGGGTGGGAAATATGTGCCTGTTCCTAATGAGAACCACCACAAACATTATGATCTAATCTGTAGCATTTCATTTGGAGAATTTTCTCCTTCTTTCCACCATTTTCTCCTCTGGTCAGAAAACTCTTAAGCCTCTTAGAAGTCCTCCCGCTGACTCCTAACAGTTATTCACCTTAGGGGATCTCTTAAGAGCAAAGATGCTTTGTGCATAACTTTTATCTTTAGTCTTAACTTTAAGGGGAAATTCAGTCTACAATATTTTTTATGTTTGCCAACATGAAATACAACATTTTACACTCATATACCATAGAAGTCCACATACAGTTGTTGCATTTTCACAAAACAAAAAATAAAAAAATAAAATAACCAAGCTTACTCAAAGCAAGAATGTTCCTCCTGTTTTATCAAGTAATGTTCACGTCTTATCTGTACATGGAATACATGCACAACGGACAAGACAAACAGGACAAAACAAACAAACAAACAAACAAACAAAAAAAGAATAAATAATACAACAGGAAAGAAAGTAGGTCAAAGAGGAAATGGGTTCTCAAATAAAATAACTTCACATACATAGTAGGCTATGAGGTCCCTCCCCAAGGACTCCTACTCCCGAACACCAAAAGTCCACTATATACAGTATTCAGTTCACATTTGTTGTCCATATTTCATCATATATGTCCAACCTTCCTTTGATTTTATAGAATAAATAAAGGGAGACATAACTTCACATCTCTGACTTTCACTGATAAAGTGTTGGAAGAGGTCCTCCAGTACATTTTTTTGCAGCAGTAACTGCAAGATTAATTTAAGGGTAAATTCTAAGAAAAATAAATATATTATATATAATAAATTTAAGTTTTCTTAGTTTTTTTTTTTCTCTTTACTAGACAGCAATATGGCCCCTGGACCTTTAACCTTTCTTTACTTGACATAATGTAGTCCCGCCAAAATAGCATCCGTTTATCACGAGCGGTCACGAGACCTCCGGATGCAGCAGACTCCGCCCACACACCAACGGCTGAACACCCTCTCCTCCCTCTAGTCCTCCTCCTCCTCCTGCACTGCAAACAAGGTCGTCCAAGTCTTTCTAATGTGGATAGTTTTTCTCAAATAATGGCTGACAGTGGAGAAGGTGACGATGAATTCCAGTTTCTCCGAACGGTGAGTCCGCCACTTTTTAAAATAGCTTGTATGTAACTTTTTTCGGTCAAGTCAGTTAGGATGCGTTAGCTAGCTAAGCTAACGTTAACCTAGCTAGCTTCAAATGTGTCAACAGTTAGTAACCTAATTTAGCTGTTTGGAGAGGAGAGGGTGATTCATTATGTTACATTTTTGTCCTAAAACACCTAAATCAGATGTGTAGCTTGTTCTGATAAGTGTCTCAGGATAAAAACAAAAGTAAAAGCTCTTAAAAGTGTTCAACAACATTTTTGCTAAGGTTACATCTTTACAGACTGAATTTTAAGTCTGGCCACCTTTTCAAGATTAAATTGGGCAGGTCTTGGATATTTTTTGGTCATTGTATTGATTCGGTCTTAATATTGTGTACTTTTTAATGACTTAAAGCAGTAATGATTAATAGACCTAATTTAATATCAAAGTCAAGTGTGACCTTATGATCTATGGCCCAAGGCTTTCAATTATACCTTTTACATTTAATTTTCTTATCTTTTTTGAATGATAATGTTTTGTTTATAAGTAACACAAAATATGCAGTTATGTGTATTAATTAAAAACATGCTTTACTTTTAATGCACTGCTCCCAGCAGCATTTTTGCTATCTTCATCACTGTGTTTGGTCTAGTCACTGACAGTAGAAGAAGACCACAAGTGGCTTTTTTTTATCCTCGCTGCAAGATGCTATCATAATTCCCGGGTTGTAAGTTGTCCTCTCGCAGCTTGTTATCTTTACCCTCTGATAAGGGCATGTCACACGGAGAGAGTCTGGTGTGGATATGAGACAAACACATACTCATACAGGCAGTGATGCAGAGGGTTACCGAACCCAGTAACCAGATTGGGAAAAAGTCATCTTGCAAGATCAATCCACAATATTATGAACTGCAGATATCTGTGTCATAAATTATTACATTAAATGCACAGTTTCCCCCAGGAAATTGCTCAGCTGAGGCAGGAAGCCACCCAGATCCTGACAAATCTGGTCTTAGGAGCAATTTAGTTAGTAAATGACAGCAGAAACTAAACGCTACACTGGTTGAAAACATGGCATTTGTCACATGGCACCTCTGCTTTATGTCCCTGAAGGTTTTTCTATAATAACAGTTTATTCATTCTTTGTAATGTTAGTGGAGGTGGTTTTTATTTAATGCAAGGTAGCCAGCCTGCTCTTAATAACATCACCCTGAAATGTACAGATTGGAAAATATAGCAATATATCGAAAAGAGTTAGTTTCAAATCCACTGCAAGACTTTTCAAAAGTTTGTTGCAGCCGGTTTAACATGCATTTCCAATTGCCAGCCAGAGTCTTGTGGTGCAGTGAATTTTCACTTGCCAAATGTACCTTGAAGAAGAGCTGAGTCCTTTAGCCATCTGACTGCCCCACAGTGCCTCCACATTGGGTAGTGTGTTTGACTGATTGCAGAGTGCTGCTGATAGGAAGAGTGGAAAGGAGGGTGAATCAGTGGTCAGACAGTGCAGTATCTGCCCAATATGGAGGTACACAGCCTGGGTATGGAGAGGTGTTGGTAGTCCTTGCCGGACTTTGGAGACCAGTCGTCTGTTGTCCCTCTCTGCTGTTCCTTAAATAGATGTGAAATGCCTAATTCCTTTGACGTGGTCTGTTTGGCATTTAAATGAAGATAAGATAAATTTTAGGTGAGAGGAATCTACTGTACATGCATTTACAGTAGGGCTTTGCTGATATTGACTCAGCACTTACATTTATTTTTATGAGCCCTTTGTAAAAATGACAACTCATCTTTTTATATGTACTGTATATTTTCATATAATTTGTTCTGGGGGTTCTGTCATTTATTTCTTAGACATTTATGGGTTGGTTTACAGGAACCCTGAAGGCCAAATTCATACTAGCACTGAATGGGTATGCTATTTTGCTATGATGAAGGTCTAAAATTGATCTGTATCAGTGTTGGCCTTCACAAACAAACCTGTTGGAGTTTGATTTTTACTCATTCTGTGCCTTTTTTATATGTGGCAATCTGTAACTTATATGCACATGAGAGCTTGACCCTACTGCTGCCATCTCTGTGTGTGTGTTTTTCTTAGGGAGATGAGGTGGTGTTGCAAAGCACTGTCACCTCCCTGGAGGAACATGTGAAACTCTGTCTCGCAGCCGAGGGATTTGGCAGCAGACTCTGCAGGCTTGAGCCCACCTCTAACTGCAAGGTAAAGAGCATCACCCCAATGATTGCCAGAGCAGTGTCAGTTATCATCACACTTTGTTACTCTTAAAATTTGAAATAATAAAAGAGAGATGTGTTTATCATACAAATAATTCACTTAAAAGTTTAAGAATATTTGACCTGTACAGAAATACTGTATCTTCTGTATTTTAACACCTATATATATAGTAATCAAACGTTTAAACTGCATCAGGAACTTATAAAACACAAAAGTTTGTAAGATAAGTTGACCTCTGTTGGTCTTTCTACATTAAGTTTTAATGGATGTCTGCTAATTGTGTCTATGTAGTGTTTTGCTAAAGTATCTAAAAGTTTTTTGTATTGCTTCCTACTACAAAAAACTTCATCACATTTAATATTTCACAACAGTTCATTCAGTTTTAATGCTTCTTACTCACTTACTCAGCATCTTGTTTTATAATTTATGTATTTGTCCTTTTCTTGATGTGCCAGATTTTCCCCATTTCATCCTCAATTTGGACTGCCCAATTCCCATTTCGCTGTGGTCCGTGTCACTTTGCACTGTTAGCCTGTGGAGGTAGTCGACAGATGTGAAACTTACCTCAGTGACCCGTGCTCTGCTTTCTTTTTATTTTTACCAGAATGTTCCCCCAGACTTGTCTGTATGTGGCTTTGTTGTAGCCCAGTGTCTCTCTGTTCGAGCCCTGCAGGAAATGCTGGCCCACAGTGAACACCTGGGTGCAGAGGTGAGTCTCTTCTCCTCTTTCTTCCTCTCCCAGCGCATTCCAGCACTCCTCAAGCAAATATTATTTGCCATTTATGTGAGATTCACAAGTAATTGATTGGAATTTCGAGATACTAAAAAAAAAAAAAACCCTTTCAAAATACTTTGAATATACTACAGCCAAAATCACTTGCCAGGTTAAACTGACCTCATATCAGCCCTACTTGTAACTGAAGGTATTACACATGGTATTATGCCTCATTTCCACTGCATAACTCAACTCAACTCAACTCAACTCAACTCACTTTTGTACAAGGTCCTTTTTTTAAATTTTGTTAACTACTGCAGATAGTACCTTCTCAGTTTAGGTGGGATTCTAAGGTGATCGTCATCGTCATCGATCAGGTCATCGTCGCTGTGTGAAACTGCTGTGACATCATCTTCAGCGTAACACTCACTGGATTCTTTCATCAGCAAGGATGTCTGTCATTTGTGACTTGTACACTTTAGTGTACATTTTAGTGATGCACAGTTTAACCCACAGCCTGCGGGTCTCGCGGCTTGACTTGTAGGTTGGGCAGTTGGGTTAAGCTTGTTAGAAAATGTCGTGGTAAGTAAGTGAAAAACAATGCTCCGACTAAGTTCTTAATAAGTTACAGAAACATTGTGCAATAATCCAACTTCCACCTTCTTTTCCTTTCTCTTCCCCTCTCTCTGCCTCTCTCACATCAAGCAGCTTTATCATAAGCACTGCTGTGCTCAGACTTACCATAACTCTACTTGTGACCAGGAATATCTGTTCAAGTCTGACATATTTAAATCTCTCGGGTCATAATGTTTGGTAAAAATGTGTCCCTCTGCAAAGATGTAGGCCTAACACTGAGTCCTAACAGTAAGCAAGCAAGTGCCTCTTTGTCCTCACTAAATCCAATAAACATGCACTTCTGTAACATCATGTAAATAATGCACCTATCAGCTGTGCACTTAAGATCATCCTTAAGACATGACCACTTAAAAGATGTGTGAGTGCCTGTTGTCTTCCTCTGCTTGTACTTATTAAACAGAAATCACATGTTTTATATTGTGATATTTGCTGGAAATGACATATAGCCACCAGCAAGAAGGCTTTGTAATTATCATTACCAGAAACTTTCAGTTCTGGTTTGCGGGTCAGGTTCAGGTCAGTAATTAACGCATATGTTTGCGGGTAGGGTGGGCAGTGCTGTGGTTTTGCAGGCTGCTTTTTTTAAAAAAAAAAAAAATGTGGAAGGAGTGAATAAAAAAATTGTGGTCTCTATTGATGGTAGCTTGGGTATTTAAAAATGGCAGGTTTGTGCAAATGGAAAACCAAAAAAGAATGAGTTGAGTTAAGAGGAGCCATATGTGCTGTGGAAATGTGGCATTATTGTACTTAACTGTACAACTCTGTAAACTGTTGACCACCACGATATAAGCCAAGGTTTTATTACTTTGTTTAGGGTGTTTTCATTCATCAGGAGCAAGAAGGTTAACACAGTCTTACTGACAAATAAAGCTCACTGTAAAGCTGGAACAGTTGGTGTCAACATAAAGTAACAAGCAAACAAAATTAAGCTTTTTATGATATTTTATGATTTTTTTTCTTTAATTTTTTGATGATTTTTCATTTAGTCTTTGTTTCTGTTTATTTCATTTTTAGTTGATTCACTGTTCACACTACAGTTCTTGTGTTTACTCATACTGTGACTTCAGTAATGTGAATGTGATTCACAGGTGGGAGCTGGAGGAAGCCATCGCACCCTTCTATATGGCCAGGCGGTGTTGTTCCTACACTCATACAGCGGCATGGTGAGTCATCTTGTTAAAATGCAGATATAAATCAGAAGGGGTCAGTCAGTTTTAGTAGCTTTCTCAAAATATTTGTTCATATGTTTACTGAAATATATTTTTGTTGTTTATTTCACTCCCAGTATCTCAGCTGCTTGTCTTCATCTCAATCATCAACAGACAAGCTGGCTTTTGATGTTGGTCTGCAAGAGAATAAAGCAGGTATTTGGTGTTGAATTTTTTATTGAACCGATGACAATTGTAAGATGTTTGTATTTTTTTACCGCTCTGTTTATGTCATGTGGAGCAGCAAAAACTTGGTATATATCCTCTGTATGTGTGGCTCAGGTGAGGCATGTTGGTGGACCGTCCACCCAGCATCCAGACAGAGATCAGAGGGTGAGAAAGTGCGCGTCGGAGATGACCTCATACTGGTCAATGTTTCCTCAGAGAGATATCTGGTGAGACAGTAAAGAAATAAAGTTTTCATGCTTAGATGAAAAACAATCTGCTAACCTAACCTCTTAAAAGAAATAGTGAACTACTAATTAAACGTCTGAAGTTGGTAAATTGAATGTGTTTTTTCCTCCGCTACATTCCTTCTTCAGCTTTCGTCCGAGCTTTGCAGAATCAGACACCACTATTTATATGTCACTGGTTTAATTTCCTCAGACTTCATTCGGTAGTTGGCAATCTGTGTTCTCTCTGCCTCTTGATTAGCATAATTGTTTATGATAACAGCCATTGTTGTTCAAAAATCAGAAGTTGTATTCATTGTTGATGAGCCCATTTGTCTTTCTTCCCAGCACCTGTCCTTGGGAGCTGTATTTGACAACAAAAGCTGGAGTGACAGCCTGATTGTTAATGCAGCCTTCCAGCAGACACTCTGGCGTGTTGCTCCCATTTGCTCTGGAGGCGGAGTTGCTCAAGGAAAGTCTCTTTTTTTTTGCTCTCTAAGCATATTGGAAAAACAAACTCTTGTTATCTAAGATGATATAATATGGGGCACTTGTGTATATGTGTATGAGTGTGTGCATATTTGTAGCTGATAAAGAAGAGACCAGAGAGAGAAGAAGGACTGGGCAAATAAGTAAATACAAAAAATACGTAATATAAATAAGCATAATGATAATATATAATACTACTCATACATAATAATGAATGTAATAATATAAAATTAAATAATAAAACTAAAAAAAAAAAATGAACAAAAACAAAAAACAGTTGAGTTGGCTCCTCTAGTCACCCTCTAAGGTCCTGTGGGGCTTCTGGGGCTCAGGTGGAGCCAGTCAGTTGGACTGGGCTTGCTAGCTCTCTCATTTGCACTCGTCTGTTTAGCTGCTCTGGGCCACACTTGGACCCTTGGGAGGGCATTGGCCCATTGCAGATACCTGTGGCCTCTAGCAGAGCCTATCCTCAGACCCTTGTGAGTGGGCCAGCTCTGTTGAGGCAGGGGGGGCGGGGGTGTACTTGTGAGTGTGGGTGATATTGAATGTACTCAGCTTTTTTGTTCTTTCTGCTATTTAGCTCAGAGTAGTTACCCTTGTTTGAATACCAGTTATAGCCTGATTCAAGCAGTAAAAAGTCTCTTTCAGTGTAGATTATGCCTATATTTGTTGTGCTAATTCTAGGATACCTGAATGGGGGCGACACATTGAGACTACTCCACAGCCACAGTGACGCATATCTGACTGTCCCATCCACAGAGCAGGGAGAGGAACTGCAAAGGTCAGTTGAAAAGACCGGTCTTCTGTCATGTCAGTGAGACAAAATAGCCTTTGCTTCTGTAGTCATGTCTGTTTTTCTGAATTTAGGATGATGCATTATGAGATTGGATCAGTCTCCAGCCATGCCCGCTCTCTCTGGAGGCTGGAGATTCTGCGAGTTGTGTAAGTATATGCAGATATAATGATCAACTCTGTTTGAGTTTAAAGCAGTTTAATAGCCTCATATGAATGAAGGGTAGTTTTAACCACTACAGGTTTAAACTTAATATTGGAAAGCAGTATTAAATTCAAAAAAATATTTTTAGTGTCATTTTACAGAAAAAAGCACTCACAAGCACAGTACTTGATTGTTTTTAACTTCATAGAGGGAGTCAGTGTTATGTTGCACACACTGCTGCTGGTCAATGCCAGAGCACCGCCCAGAATTCAAAGGCTCAAACCATATTTAATATCACTGACCCAGAAGGTTTGTGTGCCCCCTGTTTTCTCCCCTGCCATTTCAACAATAAAGAGGGAAAACTAATTGGTCAGTTTCCTTCAAAGGTAAACAAAACCAACTAAAAACATGATGCTCTTTACATTCCACAGTTGGAGTGGCAGGCATACATGCTGGGGGCAGCCTTTCCGACTCTGCCATGTGACTACCGGGAGGTACCTGGGTCTCACAGAGGAGAAAGGCTTGCATCTGGTTGATCGGGACAAGGCTGACATCAACACAACCTCCTTCTGTTTTCGATCATCGAAGGTCAGGAGTCATATGAGATAAAGTGAACTTTTTAAGGTTGCTACTATTAATTCATAATCCAAAAGTTTCTTTGGATTGGGCACTTGATGGTCACAAGTGCAGTCAGTTTATTATCAGAGAAACACATCTGTTAGTGATATGTGCAACAATAAAATTTTGCTCACAGGAAAAGCTTGACACAGGCACAAAGATGAATGCTGATGGCATGGGGATCCCAGAGATCAAGTATGGAGACTCCATTTGTTATGTTCAGCATGTAGACTCTGGGCTTTGGCTCACCTACCAAGCCATTGATGCCCATTCTACACGCATGGGAGTGTCTCAGCGAAAGGTAAACCTTTAGATTTAAAATGATTATTTTAAGAGACAGAATCAATATTGATTAACCACAAGGATAATGCTGATTACATGATTGCAAATTATGTGTTTCCAGGCCATTTTACACAGCGAGGGTCATATGGACGATGGGCTGACGCTGTCTCGTTCTCAGAGGGAAGAATCTCACACTGCCAGACTCATCCGGAGTGCTACTCTGCTCTTCACACGCTTTATCAGGTACTAGATGCCATGTCTAGACCCTCAGTCAGTGGAACAATGTTCCATAATCAGTGAAGTTTCCATGAATGACTGAGTGAAGGTTGTTGTTTGCAGCTGTCTAGCTGTCCTTGTTAGAGCTTGACCAATAAATCTGCCGATATTAGCTTATTGCAGATGTACTGGTGTCAGGTTTGATATGTAACACGAAATTGCAGTACAGAAATGCAAAACTAGGTCTGGTAATTTTAATTTTTAATTTAGAAACAGTGTCTACGTTTCATAGTTTGTCTACCAGAGAGAACTGACTGCTGATTTTTTTTTACTGTAAAATGTCTCACTCAGTTTGTATCTTGATCACATTTCTTTAAAATAACAAAAATCAACTGGCTGATGTATGGTTATGAAATTTTAAAACTCATATATCAAGTAGGCTTTATAGGCCTTAAAAAACAGTTATCTGTCAAGCTTAAGTCTGCGTTGTATACAAATCATACTTGATTTAGGTATCAAAAACAAAATCTATGACTACGTACAAGCTTTGCCATGGTATTACACTTCAGATACGCACACACAAATATCCAGTTACATCACCACAGACTTTGGCTGTTTTGGAATATCTAAAGAAGTTTCTTGTGGTATACAGTATCATAGCAATACCCGCAGAAAATTTCAAAACACCATGGGAATACTACCATGCTTTTAAAAAGCTGCAACTGCATAATTAAGCACTGAGAGAAAACTCTGGAATATGGAATAACTTGCGGCTCAGATGCTCAAACTTTCTGTTTTTTAAAAACAAAAACAACAGTACATTTTTAAAAAGGGCTTTACAATCTGTACATGACACTCTCTATCCTTAGAACTTTTATGAGGATTACATACCGAATCAGTGTCACAGAAGATCCCCACATAGAGACCTCAAACACTGGCTTCTTTTAACGATAGATTTGGAATTCTGGTGGCTTGAGTAACCACTATCTGTCTGTCTTCAGGAAACTGGACGGTTTTAGTCAACAAGGAAACGTCACATCTGTTAGTCTGCCAATGGAGATAGTGACATGTAGTCTGCAGGATCTAATAAGCTACTTCCAGCCTCCACTGGATGGGCTAGGCCATGAAGCAAAACAGAACAACATGACAGCGCTAAAGAATCGACAAAACATGTTCCAGGAAGAGGTGAAACAGTGTGTGAATGAAGATTTTGACTTTACATGTGATATGTTTGTTCTACAAGTAAACTCCCTTTACTTCTCAGGGTGTGATAGATTTGGTCCTTGATTGTATTGACCGTCTGCACCAATATAGTAGTGGATCTCATTTTGCTGAGGCTGCTCAGAGTGACACAGGAGAAGAGTGGGAGACCATCCTCAACCGTTTCTATGAGCTACTTGGTGAGAATTAACACACTCTCACTATAGATGTCACAATACCACTTTTTCCTTTTGAATACTGACACCACAACATTGATCACCTTCTAGCACAGACTCACATTTTTCCTGTTTTTCCTCTCCTATGCTGATAATAACCTTTTTAAATACATTTTTATTAAAAATACATATCTTGAAAATGATCCATGAATTGCCAAAAAGTGGTGTAAATTCAGCTATTTTGCATCTTAGTGCCTAAGTCTTGTCAATCCTCAACACGCTTTCTTATGAAATCCTTCTTTTTCTCCTTTAGCTGCTCTGATCCAAGGAAACCGTGTGAACTGTGCACATTTCTCAGGGTCTCTAGACTGGCTGATTAGTAGGCTAGACCGTCTGGAGGCCTCTCGTGGTTGGTTGGATTTTCATTAAGAATCCTGTTTTTAATTTCCTAATAATTCAGAAAATTAAAGATGTTGATCTCATGATATTTTTTGGTACACCTGCTTAAGTTGTTACATCGGTGATATTACGTTGTGAAATAATACTCTTACACATTGTTAAATGCTGCACATTATTTCTGACATTAGTTATCATATGTTGTCACAGCATCATAGCAAAATACTTTCCTAAAGTAATAAGCAATTGCATATATGTACAGGAGTCTTGGAGGTTCTGCACTGTGTCCTCGTGGAAAGTCCTGAAGCAATCAACGTCATCAAAGAAGGACACATTCGTTCCATCATCTCTTTTCTTGACAAGCATGGATGCAACCACAAGGTAATGTTTACAAGGTTTTCATGTGTCTCTGAAATAAAAATCTTGAGAATCTTGAATGACAAGTAATTGTAATTATTACCATGTTATTTCTTCATTTATTGGCTGACATGCAATAGCTCGTTTAAATTTAGAATTAGCCCAGTTGTCAGAATAAAATGTTGGCACTAAATGTTTCTGCAAACCATGGATATGGTTAGATTTGTGTTTTTTGAGACCAACAGAAGTGGTTATTTTATTTAATTTTAATTTCTAGGGGCTTTATTAGATAGGACAGTGTACGCGTGAAAGGGAGAGAGAGAGAAAGAGAGAGAGAGAGAGAGAGGGATGACATGCAGCAAAGGGCCACAGGCCAGAATCGAACCTGTGACCGCTGTGGCAATGACATTCCCTTTGTATACGGGATGCCTGCTCCAATGTCTAAGCCACCGGATGCCCCACAAAAGCAGATATTTTTTAATGAGAGTTTAGGATATTTCCAGCCATGTTTGTTGCGACCAAACCAGGTATTTTATGCCATAACACAATGTTTTCCTAACTAACCAAGTGGTTTTTATATGTAAACCTCCAACCACAGCATAATCGCAACATAAAATTGAAACAATAAGTTTAAACATATCTGCTGCATACAAAACGTACAGATGTTACATATCCATAGTTTGCAGAAACTTATAATGCCAATAATTATTCTCCCAACTGAGCTTGGAAAAACTCATCTGTTACTCTCTTAGGCCATCCTGACATGATATTTGACCTGTTCCCTAATGCTGGATCATTTCCATGTGTTTATTTACCGAGCTGTTGCTGGATTAAGCACTGACAGGTTGTGTTCCAGGTGCTGGAGGTGCTGTCCTCTCTGTGTGTGTGTCATGGTGTTGCTGTGCGGTCCAATCAGAATCTCATCTGTGACAATCTGCTGCCAGACAGAGACTTGCTGCTCCAAACACGTCTGGCTAATCAGGTCACCAGGTACAATTTCGGATGATTTTTCTAAATATAATGACTTGTTTTGTCTCTGAGTCATTCCTCTGCATTTAGATGAGTCTCTAATACTTGCTTGTGCCATTTGCCATACACAGAAATCAGTCAAACAAAAGTTACACAGAATATATCAAAAGTAGAAATAAAGTTTTTTGTTATATCTGAAAATAGCACATTTAAAAATCATGCGGGTTGCATGGAGAACATGTTCCCATACTCTGACCTTGCTTTTGTTTTTTTTGTTTTCTTGAGAATCACTGGATGAGGGCTTTCTTTCTTTATCTCTTTTTATATTTACCCATGCATTTGCTTAGCTGAGCCCCATTTGTCAACTGTAGAGCACTCACTGCTGTGCATCTTAGTCTATTTCTAATTGTGTCCGCATCCTTGACACAAGAAACACCTCAGGATTCTCCACAGCAGGCTACAGCGCTTGTTTTTTCTCTGGTGGACTTTAGGTAAATCAAGAATTATTTGTCTGCTTCAGTTGTTTTTTTTTCTGTCTGAAAAGATCAGACCGATAATGTTGATATATGGGGACAGATGTCTTCGTCTCAGCCTCTTCCAGTGAGATTTTGGAAAAGTTGCTCTCTGCCTGAGGTGGTATGGCTCACAGAGTTAATCTTTGGACATTTTTTATCCAGTTTCATCATATTTCATCTCTGAATATCTTGGCCCACTGTGCCAGTCGAAGCTTGTAGGCAGTTTCCATTTCCCTTTCAGCTTGTTTTTTTTTCCTCCAGTCCATCTGCCCTTTCTTCCTCAGCAGCTGCCTTCTTTTATCATGCTTCTCTCTATCAGCAGCCCATTTTGTTCCTCGGGCCTTATAGCTTATTTTGTTTCATATTCTTCGCACCTACTCGGTCCATTCCCCAGCTCTCTCTTCCTCCTCAAGCCATTTCTCATTCCATCACTTCTACTTCTTATTCAGCTTAATGCCTCATTTGCAGATCTGCCTTCATTCTTATTTCCTTTTTCTCATCAGTTTTTCTTTCTCTTTTCTGTCGTCTCCTCTCTGCGTATCCTATTTTGTCAATTCATCCAGATGCCCTTTTTCCTCTTCTTTTATTTTTATCCATCCTTCTGATCCATTTTTATCCAATCTCTTCTAGCATCTTATCCAGGTCACACATTTCTCTCTGCGTCCTTTTCCCATTCTCTCAATTCCCTCCGTCTTCCCTCATGTCTTCACTGTCATGAGAACTCTGTCAAGGGCAAGGTTAGTGTCACTATATGAACTGGCATTTAATCTCAAGACACCGGCCAGACTTAATGCCAGCAGCATATTGGCGATTTTCTTGCCCACATGCCTCTCCATCTTACTGTGTGTCATACTCTGCCTCCAAATTATCTCTGGTAATTTAGTTTCAGCAGTGATATTGAAGGGAACCTCTAGAAGAGCCTGGTTCTGTATTTGTTCATTCATTCATTCATATATTTATAACAGTGAATGTGCTGTTCTCCTGAGAGTTGAGTTGTGCTCTGTGTGGACTGCAGAGAGTACCAAAAGCTCTGCATAAGAAAAATGCAGTGTGGTCATACAGAGGGTAGCAAGCTAGAAATCAAACAAGCATCTAGCAGAGACTGTCTACTCAGTTATTTTGTATTCAGTTCAATTATTCTATTTGGTACAGCAAATGTCAGTGTTGCTTTACTCACTCCAGTCATACATACCCAGACTTCCTTTCCAACCTGAATTCCTCACAGTTGTCGAGACATTCTGTCAATATTTTTGACACACTGCATTTAATTCTTCACTTTTCTCAGGATTTCATGCTCTTCTTAATAGTTGTTTTTTTCATATAGTAACCATATGCATATAGAGTGCTGCAGGGATGAGTCCTAAAACCTAAAGAATGAGTTAGTATTTGCCCTTATCTCGAAGTCATTCATTTTTTGAGTGGGATTGTCCTCATATCCTGTGGGTACACAAGCACACCATGCTTTTTAACATTTCAGTCAGGCAACTCACATTTAAATGTTTACTTCAACAGCAGAACGTAGTTAGAGTTTGGCGCCCCATTGCTCCCCGCAGATATGTTTATATGAGATATTGGGAAGTGGTGATTAAATATTTCCCCCCTTGCCGGAGCCTGCAGGTGGATGCTGGGGTGGAGGTGGGGCTGAAAGAGAGCGCGGAAGTACTGATGCAGGGCAGCAGCGGCATAGACAATGCAAAGGGAGAGCTAGGAAGATTTTGCAGGTTAAATAGCGAGCCAAATTAGGACGGTGTGTTTTGCAGATGACATATGGGGAGTGACGTATGACGTGTATGAATCAGTGCAGCTTGAATTAACTGCCTGAACTAGCTCGCAGACGTCACTCCATAGAATACATCAGTAAATACCCCATTTGAATTTTGAAGCTTTTGTGTCTTAAAAAGGTTAACAATAAATGCTAGCATGTGCCTAAATGAGACTACAGAGGTTGTCAAGGAGGTTAAATGTCATCACACCGAACATGGAAACTCATCTACTCACCGGTCCGCCTTTACGTACTTGTTGTGTTTATACGTGCTCTCTTGCAAACTGTTTTTACTTTAACTTTTCAACTTGTAGATTTTTCACTTTTTAGTATTTTCACTTGTAGTTAAGTTGATAGCTTAGTAGTGGTGAAGTTGAAGTCATGCAACTGTGGTGTAGTTTGTTCACAGCTTAACATCATTAATGTCATTCCACCTCTTTCTGTCCCACCTTTCCTGTCTACCTACAGCTGCTCTATCAGTACGGGCAAAAACGTCCAAAAAAAATCTTAAAAATGTTGTAGAAGTGGTGTTCATTTATTAAGATTATCTTGCTTAACAAACTTGTAAGCATTATAAACGTTTGTTTGCAAAAGAAATTATGTTCTGCAGTAATATAGAATCCACTGGAAAAAATGTCATTGGCCATTGAACCCTACAGTGCTCTATTGCTGAAGAGTTTTTTAACATTTCTTGTAATTTCAAAGACCCATTCATGTCTTTCAAGTTAATATTATACTAAAAACCATGATAATCAAATCTAACAAATCTTACCAAAGAAAGACACCACTATCCTCTGTCTTTTTTGTTCTTTTGTCTTCTGTACTCTGCACATTATTCCACCACAGCATGAGACCAAACATCTTTTTGGCTTTGGGGGAAGATTCAGCTCAGCATCGGAGGTGGTACTATGAGCTGGTTGTGGATCATGTGGACTCCTTCCTCACATCTGAGCCCACGCATCTGCGTGTCGGCTGGGCTCGCACTGAGGGCTATCAGCCCAGGCCCACGGGAGGTAAAGGCTGGGGAGGCAACGGGGTGGGAGACGACCTCTGCTCCTACGGCTTTGATGGGCTGAATCTGTGGTCAGGTGAGGATGAGATCAAACGAGGTACAAGATTGAGTGTACATACAAGTCCTACTGGGGAACTCACTTACTGAAATAAAATAATATTAGGTTTTTCAGAGCACTCAGTAGTGAGCAGTTCCAGAGTTTTTACTGGCCTTTAGAGTTTAACTGTGATCTAGGAATGCAAGATATCTATAAAGAGTACAGACCTGCAGAAACTGTCAGCAACGTACTACAACAGAAATACACATATGAAATAGAGACATATTTTAGAATTCAGGGTGTGATAACACTTCTGCTGGAAACACTTACAAACCCTCACACAGTTTTGATTTGTGTTCTATAATTATCTAACAAACTAAAAGGGACTGCATAATAGAAACAGTTTTAAACAATTGTTATTGCTTCACATATTCTAGGAAGTTTTTTGAGGCAAACACAGTATCTAGAGATGTTACAAAATGGTGCAAATTTATCTTAGTGCATTTCATTTGGCTTCATTAAGAGCATATACAGGAGATTTAGTATGCCTAAGTAAAATGAGCAACAAAGGAATTCAACAAAACAGACGCTTTTTAATTTGCTTGTTTGGGAAACTTGAAATCTCAGCAGCTATTCAAATAACAGACGGTCATTGTTTACATGTTACCACTGGTTCCTTTCAGCCTGCTTGGGAGAAATTGGGTGTATAAATCAGTAGCAGCAGCAGCACTAATGCTTGCAGTGAGTGTAGAAATCAAAAGTGTTGCTGCTACATCAAAGATTTGTTTATGCCACGTTAGGATAAATTCAGAAAACAGGAAATCTTACATTTTATTATAGTTGTTGGGTCTTTATTTGATAAAGTATGGTAAATCCTTAAGTCTTAAATGTTTATGGCTGCACTTGAATGCTGTCTTATTTTGCAGTTGAGTAGAAAGTAACAATAAAAAAGATAAAATGGGAACTCAAATGACTTCAAAAGGCTGTGTGTCCTGAATGTCAGGCTGCGTGGGCCGCAGGGTAAGCTCCCCCTTCCCTCACCTGCTGAAAGATGACGATGTGGTCAGCTGCTGTCTGGACCTCAGTGCTCCCTGCATCTCTTTCCGGGTCAACGGTCTCCCAGTGCAGGGCATGCTGGAGAACTTCAGTGCTCATGGACTTCTTTATCCTGTGGTCAGCTTCTCAGCTGGAGTCAAGTCAGTAGTGGAGATTTGGTGGTTCACTCATTCTTATGTATTTTTGTCTAACTTAACACTTTTGACTTCTGAGGACCTTAATAGATAATGTAAATATCTTCTTTGTCCCATTTCTGGAAATTTAGGGTTCGTTTTCTTTTTGGGGGACGACATGGAGAGTTTCGCTTCTTGCCCCCACCAGGATTTGCTCCATGCTCTGAAGCTCTGCTCCCAAGAATCAAGCTGAAGTTAGAGCCATGCCAGAAATACATCTTGGATCATGGAGAGGGGAAACGAGAGCTTATTGGCCCCTTAGTACCTGCTACTCCAGTGACCTTTACTCCCACACCAGTAGACATTAGCAAGGTAAAAAAAAATCAGCACAGTCAAACAGACCTTTTTTTTAATAATTCTTACTTTTGTTTTATTTTACAAAAATTATAATTGATTATAATTTACTCATATTACCCTCATAGGTGGTATTGCCTCCACAACTTGAGAATGTCCGTGAAAAAATGGCTGAGAATATCCATGAACTCTGGGCAATGGACAAGATTGACCTTGGATGGACACATGGAGCTGTAAGAAAAACACAAATTAAGTCATATTGTCATGTTACGTAAGGGAATTGTACTTTACTGGTCCAGCTCTCTTCTATTTTACTTGCGGCTTTAAAAAATAACAGCATTTGTCAAACAGGTGAGAGATGACGTTAAGAAGCATGATCCCTGTCTTGTGGAGTTCTCCAAGCTGGCGGAGCAGGAGAGGAACCACAACGTTCAGATGGCTCAGGACACCCTCAGGTGAGGTCTACTTCCTGCCCCATACATTACACACAATGTTGAAAGTTTTTTAAATGGGGCTTGTTTTCATGATGAGTGAATATTCTTGTTTTTCTCCTGAAGGACTCTTCTCGCCCTCGGTTTCCACATTGGTTTGACTGATGACTACACTGAGGAGAGGGTCAAATACATGAGACTAGCCACCAAGTACGTACATGTTTACTATTATATTAAATTGATTTTTGTTTGGAGCACAGACCTTATCAATGTAGAGGACACAGCCTCAGGGTCTGAAAAGTGAAACCAGTGCAGAAGTGCCATAAACTTGCATTCTTTGTGATGGCCGGCAGGGGGCGACTCCACTGAAAGAAGTCTTTGTGAAAATATGACCCTTCTTCTCACTTGATTTATTTCCTCAGTAAACATTTTCCTAATGAGCTCATGGTCTCAATTACTAGTTTCAGTTCTTCTCCAATGCAGCATGATGCTTATATTGCAAGTTATGGTCTCATTTAGAGTAAAATAAACAATTAAGCAGGGTATGCATTAGGGTGTGGATTCCTTATGATTGACAAGTCACTTCCATTATGACCTGTCAATCAGGATAGAGGCGTAGCAATGTGTATCCTTCCACAGCTCCAACCTCTCATCCAAACATGGTCACTTTTGGCTTCAAAAACCGAGATGGCAACAGCCAGCATGCCAAAGTCAAAGCCTCAAAATGGTAGTCCACACACCAATGGGTCCAGCATGCCCAACCTGGAGGTCAGGACAAGATAACTCTGAGGGGTTGCCAAATAGGACAACTTATTTTGGTGTTCCTATAATCTTTGCTTTTTTTATGCAAATTATTGAAATAATGTACCTGATTACAACTTATTCAGATAAAACTAATGCGCAAGATGAATCATAGGGGTCATAAGTAAACCAATTTTGGAAGCAGATGAAAATAACCATCATTTCACTGATGGGTTTCTGTGTAATTTTACCAAGTGAAACAATCTGAGAAGAAAAAAAATTCCACCTCAGGAGAGAGCACCTCAGAACGAAATTTGTAATGTGGTGAGGTGTTGCAAGATGGCACAGCTTTATTATCAGGAATCACAAGAAAAAAATAGTCTATAGGTTGGAGCCCTTCCACATATGAAAAAAATTGGGGGCTTTCAGTTTGTCAGGATGGGGCACGGTTGTTTGTAGCCCCACATGTGAGTTGCCTCATGCTAAATCTTTCATAGAGAGTTTGTCTAGGGAAGCTCTACTTCTGATGAACTTGCTCATGAATACTTTAGAAGCACAACTACATCATAACCACTCATTTTCCAAAACGTTTTTGAAAGTCATTTCCAATCTTGACACACTCATGTCAAATTATTTTTTATTTCCTTTCTCAGGTATGAGCAGCCCAGTGGCTACAGACCTGCCCCAGTAGACTTGAGCCAGGTTCTTCTGAGCCCAGCCCATGAGGAAGTGGTTAATTTGCTGGCGGAGAATGATCACAATGTATGGGCCAGAGAGCGTATTAAGCAGGGTTGGACCTATGGAGCCCAACAGGTTTGTATTCTATGCTGCAGTATTGCATTCATCAGACACTGCTGTGGAGAAATTACATTTGAGCAACTTGTTTTCAGTCATAATACTGCATGTAACCGTAATCAGAATTTGTTTTCAGATAGTGTTGGGACTATAGTATATGAAAAAGTATTCCCCGTACTTTGTCTCATAGTCACAACACAGACATGCACATAGCAACAATCTCTGGCAACACAAACACTGATACTGTTCTCTGACAAATGTCAGCGCCCGTTTTTGCTCTTTGTATCTGTATTTTTAGGATGTGAAAGCGAAGCGGAGCCCATACCTCGTGCCCTACAGCCTTCTTGATGAAAGGAGAAGGAGAGTGGGCAGGGAGAGTGTCAGAGAGGCTGTCTGTACCCTGCTGGCCTACGGTTACAGCCTGGAGTCTCTCAGCCAGGAACGCAGTATGTCTCAAAGCCCTGTCGTCAATCCAATCAGTTGTAGTTGAGTTCGTATCACTCATGTTCATTGTAGCCTGTATAGAATAATCCGTATAAGTCTAATAATAAGACTGTGTGTTTGTTATCAACTGAACTAATAAAACATTAGTTAATTAAGACATTAAGTTAATAATTAATAAACATTATTTTAGCAGATAACCATGTTGTTTCTGTTTCTTGGGTTTACAGCCACATTATCAAATCCATGTCTCTTCTCTGCGGAGAAGTGCAGAGTGTTCAGACCAGACAAATCATACTCCGTCACCCGAGGGAAGTGGTACTTTGAATTTGAAATAGTGACAGCTGGGAATATGAGAGTGGGCTGGGCCCGACCGGGCTGTACCTCAGACAAAGAGCTCGGCTCAGATGATCAGGCATACGTCTTCGATGGATCTGAGGTGAGATATTTGAATTAGACTGTTCCCATTGTGGCCCCATGACCAGCAAGCCCAAATCACAGTGTGACTTTGTAAAAGTGGAAATAGATAACTTTTTTACTTTAGCCTATCATAAAGAAATAAATGTGGACTGCACAATGTAAAGGTTACAGAGTAATGACACTATTAGCATTTAGATTGGTTCCCTATATGCGTCCTTTTCACTATCCAACTCTATCTGCCACCAAGTATGATCCCCTGGGAAAACAAAGGCTCGTTTTGTGGCACAAAGGAAGTGCTTCAACCATGTGCGGCCAAAACAGGAAAAGGTTAGCTATTCCCAGTTACCAAAGAGTATTATAAGATGTTTTGTTGAGTGTCTTCTGAGCAGATGATCTGAGTGAATTAAAGTTCCCTCTGGTAAGCAGCGATGCACTGTATATGTCTAAGGCTTTTATTGTGAAAGGTAAGAACTTAAGGAGGGAAACAAAGAGTTTGCCGTCTTGGTTCAGACTATGGAGCCTCTGTTCATCATTATTTTATTGCCTTCATAAGTATAGGCACATCTCATAATTCTCTGTGATAGTATCAGTGTAAGTTCTCTGCTATTACTATCCCCAGTAGCGGAAATGCAGAACAATGGAACAACAAAAGTAACTGTGAAAAACAAAATGCAGTGTGTCCTGTGTTTTTGGTAGCTGCTGGGCTCTGAGAAAACGGAAAAGATTGGGATGTCTTTGCGAGTAGTACCAACAATAACACCACTTAGAGACACTACGGAGGGCAAAGTTTAAATGTTGTCTGTTTCCACTTTAAAGCCCAGACTTGGATTTTTCCCTCCTGTCATAATATAAAGTGACTTTATGTTCCCACAGTTCTTAGACATTTCTTGATTTGCTCTCACAGTATACAGAATTACAATATAACTGAATCTAATAAAAAGTCAAACTCTTTTTACAAACTGGCTGTGTGATCATTAGTGATACCAGAGGATGTTTTGGAGAGCAGACAGACAGAGACAGACCTGTGGCCTTATAATGCTTGTCTGTAAAATATCTGTCAATGGGAGGAATTACAATGAAGCATTTGAAAGCCGAACAGAAAAGATATATTCAGTATGTGTAAGTTGCATATCCAGATACTATCATCTAAATTAAACTCTGTGCTTGACCAGCACAGCTATAATTAAGATGTGTAACCCTGATTAAACGCTGGGTGCAGTCACTGTTTCTGCTGGACTATTTCCATATTATATTGATTCTTTCATCTCTTTTTCTGTTTCCATCTGAAGCTTTTACATTTGTCTTTTTTTCCCTTTTGCTTTCAGGCTCAGTGGTACCATCAGGGCGTTGAACCCCTGGGACGTCAGTGGCAGAGAGGCGATGTGGTGGGTTGCTTGGTGGACATGGCTGAACGCACCATGATGGTCACGCTCAATGGAGAGGTGCTGTTTAATGACAGAGGATCAGAGCTGGCTGCCAAGGACTTTGATGTCAGAGACGGTGAGGGAGAGTTGTTTTTTACCTTTTAAAGTGACTTTCATTTAATTACTGAATATGAAACTGAAAGATAATAAATCGAGACAACCTTTCTTTTTTTTTTAGTGTTGCAGTGTTTTCCCCTTGAGAAAGTCCATCCGTATATCTATCAGACTGAGATATTTTGCATCTTTTCTCTCCTCACTTTCCCCAGGCCTGTTGCCTGTGGTCAGTATTGGGGTAAACCAGGTGGGGAGGCTGAACCTGGGCCGCCAAGTGGGCTCTTTGCAGTACTTTAGTGTGTGTGGCCTGCAGGAAGGCTATGAACCGTTTGCTGCCAACATGGCCAGAGACCCAGCCCTGTGGGTGAGCTGGAAACAGCCTCAGTTTACCTCGATAATGCCCGATGATCACAACTTACAGGTTAGTTTACCAGTGTATAGACTTTCTTTTAGCTTGTAACTTGGTTAATATGTTTTCTCAAGCATGTAGTATGGTGCAGAGGCTCTGTGGGGATCCAGGGTCGCTTATAGCAGTGGTTAATTGACAGCACTGATCCTGAAAATCTTGTTCAAATCTTATTCAAGGTCACTCGAGTCAGTGGCTCAAAGGATTCCTTATCTAGCCTGAGGGTTTCTCAGCGGTTGTTTGCACACCACGGTGCAGGCAGTGAGATGGGCTTTTACCGGCTAAGCATGTCCATCCAATGTGCTGCTGTCCTCACTAGCCCTGCGGGCGGTGTGCTTCCAGTGGCCTCCAACTCTCTCTCTCCAGGTACAGATTATAGCACATCATATCATATCATGTACAGTGTGTTCAAGTCAGCCACAGAGAGCTCAAGATGACTCCAAAAAGTACCACAACAAGGCCTCATCTGGTTCACCATAAGATCAAACAACATGTGAAATGACCTCTGATGCAGCGTGTGAAATCCACATAGCTATTACAAGATGAAAAATAGAGTAAAATGAATAGTTTGTGAGATCTGTGCAGCTCTTCTTTGCAGTTAGCCAGATTATTCACTATCCAGATTACTGATATTCTACCAGTGGTGGAAGAAGTATTCAAATCCTTTACTGAAGTAAAAGTACTAACACCAAAGTGGAGGATTAAGTTTAGTTTAGTTCAGTTAATTTATCAAAAGGTCAGCGTGCAACGACATTGATCATTTACAAGAAATGCAAAGCAGAAGTCCCACATAAAAAAGGACAGTAGGCACACACTGGACAGCATAAAATACAGTATGGAATACACAATAACTACATTTTAAGTCACCAGTGCAGATTTCTTGCAGTATAAAAACATTATCTACAAATTGCACAATAATAAATACTAATAAAATGACCAGTTATAAGTGGAGATGCTTTACACAACAAAAACAGTTAATACACACTGCACAGTGCAGCATAGAAAGACCCATATGAAATATGCATCAACTACATTTTTAAGGTGACTATAAGGAGTATAACGTTCCATAAAATGGAAATACTACTTTGTATTTAAGTTCACTAGTAAATGTAATGTCAGTAAATGTAGGTTACTTAGTTACATTCCACCACTGTGTTCTACAAGCATGACCTTGGTGTTGTTCTCTTTAAGCTCCCCAGGGCCCTGTTGTAATTAATTCCTGTTGTCCTTTTAGGAAGGAAAGAGCAGGAGGAGATGGACTCTGACTTTGAAGTGCTGATGAATGCAGCCCACAGCTTTGCTGGCTCAAGAGATGAGCTGAACCATAAAGATCATAGTCATGACAAAACATCCAAATTGAAACAACGGTAGGTGGTATAGAAACTAAAACTGGAATAATATGCAATAAAATGCACATAATTTGGAATATGGAGAAGTAAAAACATGAATATTTGGGTTATAATTGTTGCTTAAGTTAGAATAATAATGTTCCAGTTATTTAAAAATGATGCGTATTGCATGTCCATGTTTGTCTACTCAATGATTGAAATGACAAAAGGATGGTAATGACTGAATTGTTCCCAAAGTAAGGAAATGTAGATTGTTAAAAGAAACAAAGAAAGCAAACAGGCTCACCACATTTACAATAAACCTGTTCATTGTGCTGTGTGTGAACAAATTTGTGTTTCTGTTCTGCAGGTTCTTGCTGAAGAGGACTAAACCAGAGCTAATCAGCAGCAACTCTTCTGCACGGCTTCTAGAAGATGTCGTAGTTGACAAAGACAACCATGATCACCTTATCCAGAGCTCCAGAGTAAGGCTTTCATTTTCTCATTATCTTATCTCATAACCAGATGATCACAGAACATACTCAAAATCAACCTCAATAAGAAACCAAATATTTTGTAACGTTATTTCTAAATTATTCAGCAATGCTCATGAATAATAACAGAGGGCAAAATGTGTTTGGACACTCTGCACCCTCATAGTGCACTTAAATGAAACAAATTGCACTGCAGGGATTAGGCACTTAGATTTTACAGCTCTTTAGCTTCTGGCTAGTCAATGTAATGCACCAAACAGTGACACTGACTGCCCTCCCTTTTACAGTATTACTACTCAGTGAGGGTTCTTCCAGGCCAGGAGCCTTTTAATGTGTGGGCAGGCTGGGTGACCTCTGACTTTCATCAACACGACATGAATTTTGACACTGACAGCGTCCTCACTGTAACTGTGACCCTCGGAGATGACAGTGGAAAAGTTCAAGAAAGGTTAGTATGATCCAAAACAGTTTAATTACACTGCAGTCAGAGCTAATGTCATGATCATCCTTTTTACATCATGATCTCAGACTACGTCATAAGATTCTAGGATTTCATCGTCTTCTTTTGAGTGTTCATGAGAAACTATCAACAAACTGCCAATTAAACATAAGGCTATTTGTTTGCACAGTGTGAAGCGGTGTAACTGTTACATGGTGTGTGCTGGAGAGGCAACGGGCCTGTCTCCAAGTCGGAGGAGTGCAGGGTTGGAAATTGGCTGTTTAATTGACACAGCCACTGGGCTGCTCACCTTCACCTCCAGCGGAGTGGAGATGGCCACCTTCTACCAAGTAGGTCACACAGGAATCTATTTGATTTGTTCAGACTAATCTCTGTTTTCCTCTGTAAGTGTATATTAATCTAAATTTAATACACAATAAACCTCATTGAGCATCGTCTGTTACGCTCGGAAAAATATCTTATTGAAGTAATTCTACTGAGTAATGTTTAACTTGGAGCATTGCATTATTAGACTCAGACAATATTGTTTCACTGCTAATTAGGTGGAAGCCGGTACAAAGCTGTTTCCTGCTGTTTTTGTCAAGCCCACCACGAGCAACATGTTTCAGTTTGAACTAGGCCGCATCAAGGTAAAGGAACTAATTTTTAATCCTGTCAAAGACATTAGAAAGACGATGTGTGTTTTTTTTACCCCTGTCTGCTTGTCAGCATGATATTAGAGCAACATACTTAAAAAATTTAGACAAACTGTTGTTGACAGATTGGATCAGTAATTAATTATGTTGCAGCTTGTTAGTCAACAGTTCAGTGTTGAGGCAATTCTGCTCTGTAAGGTAACTTTCTCAGTCTGTTCTTCAATCGGTGGTTAAGCCTGTTCTGTTCTGTGTAAATGTTAAGTGGTTTGCCACAGCTTTTTTATGCATTTTCCTTCTGCTCTATCCAGAATGTGATGCCACTGTCAGCAGGTTTGCTTCGCAGCCAAAGAAGGAATGCCACCCCTCAGTGTCCTCCAAGGTTTCAGGTCCAGCATCTCAACCCGGTTTTGTGGACCAGGGTACCAGACAGTGCATTAAAGGTGATGGTGGATCGGCCTGATGAGCACCATGGCTGGAGAATCCAGTGCTGTGAGCCCCTGCAAGTCATGACCCTTCAGATCCCTGATGAAAACAGGTAAAAGAGTTGAAACAAATATGTTTTTGGAATGGGGCTTGCAGATTTAAGTGCACAGGAAGTAATGCATGTGTCGTTTACCCACATGCCTCTTGTTCCACTGTGATCTGCAAACACCAGGCAACACACACTAGTCTATTGTATAACATCATTAAAAATGCAACAGAATGACATTGTGTGAAGTCATCAACTGGAGCTTTAATTTCATCTTGAGCAAGTAGCAACACTGAAACTGTGTTTACGTTTTGATGACAATGCATCTAGGTCTGTTGACATTTTGGAGCTGTCAGAACATGATGACCTCTTGACCTTTCACCACCACACACTCCTCCTCTACTGCTCTTTATGCGCCCTTGGAAACACCAGAGTTTGTCATGCCCTCTGCAGCCACGTGGACCAATCCCAGGTCCTTCATGCCATTCAGAATCCCCATCTCCCTGGTCTGCTCCGTACTGCATTTTACCAGCTGCTCATTCAGGTGATTGATTGAGTTTATGTTATTCTTTGGGTAACATTCGGGAAAGTGTGGTGTTTGTAGAGTAAATAATAAAGTGTTGTTCTTTAGGTTCACCTCAGCAGCTACAGCACAGCATGTCAAATGATGAACCAGGAATATATTGTGCCTATGACTGACCCGACCCGAGAAATCACCCTTTATCCCAGCCCTGCTAATGGTGTTAATGTGGGGAATAGTCAGCCTCCAATGGGCATTTCCAGCACTAGTCTCAGTACATCCCTAAAACCACGGATGCATTTCTCATCTCCGTGTTTTGTCAGGAGTGATGGGATGGAAGGAGATGGTGCAGGTGAAATATCCTGCACAAACAGCCCAGAAATCCCTCTGGACATATTAAAAGACCTGACTGTGGAGATGCTGACTGCTGGAGTGTGGGCTGTGGGTCAGGGTGTGAGGGATCCTGTAGGAGGCAGCATTGAGCTTCTACTGGTTCCCCTAATTAGGCTGTTCTACACACTGCTGGTTATGGGGGTATTTGGGGATGAGGACCTTGGGAAAGTTCTGAGCCTGATAGAGCCTGGAGTCTTCTCTGTTGATCCTGAAACCCTCGAGGAAGAGGAAGAAGAAGCTAGTGATGATGAAGAACAATGGAAAGGGGGCAACAACAAAGATGACACCCCTAAAGAAGGACTTCTTCAAATGAAGCTTCCAGAAGCTGTCAAACTCGAGGTGAACGTGGCAACAGATTTCTTTGACAATTGTCATTTTTCTCCTGTTGTTTTATATCGTTACATTCCTATAAGCTGCTTTAAATGAGCCATAAAGGAAGATTAAATACATTTCTTTCTGCAGCTCTGCCATCTGTTGTCCTACCTGTGTGACTGCCAGGTGCGCCACAGGGTAGAAGCTGTGGTTGCCTTTTCTGACAGCTTTGTTGGTCAGCTGCAGGAGAACCAGCGTTTTCGCTACAACCAGGTCATGCAGGCACTTAACATGTCTGCCGCTCTCACTGCCCGCAAGACCAAGGAGTTCCGCTCACCTCCACAGGAGCAGGTTGAGTTTGCTAAAATGAAATTCTAAATATTACGCTGAAAACACACCAAGCAGCACTGAAGTAAGGCTTGCCTCAATAATTAGATTTTTCTGCAGCCGGGAGGTGTTTTTGTGTTTCAGATGGGATAAAATTCTTTGTAACATAGGTCAGTATGTCACAGGAGTCACAGGACTGCAGGTATTCTCTACCAGCAATTTGCTGAAGAAAGTTAAAATATCCCCAACTTTTAGTACTAGTATCAACGCAGCTTGGAGTGGCTGCCACACTTCGCCATTGCTTCCTGTGTTTTTAGCATTAGCTTAAAAAGTAGTGTTTAAAATGCTGTGTTGTGGTTTCTGCTTTGTTCCAGGAGCTGTGCACTCTTAAAGTAAAAACCTTAAAAATATAGAAATGCTGGGTCATCATGATTTACAATAAAACTGTGGCATTTTTTAAGACTATTTTCTTTTCTGTGTGTTTCATCTGTGACCTGTCTTTAGATCAACATGCTGCTGAGCTTTACAAAGGATGAGCAGCAGGAGAACTGTCCATGCCCAGAGGAAATCCAACAGCTCCTGCAAGACTTCCATCACCTGCTCAACACACACTGTGGTATGAACACTGTTTATATTTAACTGGTTCATTCACTCATTCATACACTGAGCCAAGGCACTATGAAAAAGCTCTGAGAACGCTCTTACCATGATTGTTACTGAGTAAATCTCATCTCACTGGCTGTTGCTGTGCAGGCATTGAATTGGATAGTGACACAGAGGATGAAGAGGATGCTGAGATGTCTCTAAAAGAGCGACTTCTTAGTCTTGTGGTGAGAGTCATTGGACTGAAGAAGACACCCATAGAGGAGGAGGGAAGTAGACCGCAGATTGCCAGTAAGTGCATCTATGTTTTGTACATTTTGGCCTGTTAATTTACGTGCACATGGGATTGTGCAGCATTTCTTGGTTCAGGATCAATATAGAGGATTAGCTGAGTTGTATTTAAGTCCCATTTAAACAAAAGTTAGAGCGTCTTTAGCTGTGAAGTATTTTACAGTGAAAGGAATATTTGAGCAGCGTACAGTTACTTAAGGGACTGAAATCAGATACTTCACAATTGATTTTTGCCACTAAAAATGGGCCGGCTTAAAATTTTGTGTGATACGGAGCTGCAGTGGAATCTGCTGCTGAGTGGACTGTTGGCTCCACCTTCCTCATTGTTAGATTAGGTGCAAGATGAAGGAGAGATGAATAAATTAGACCTACGCCACATTATTTTGGAAATTTGCCCACTGGTATCCAAACACACATCTCTACCTATCTATTTCCATATTGCTCTGTTAACTTTTACATCCCACAAATGGTGAAGTGCAGTTTTATATGACCAGTGTGGCTACCTAGTCAACCAAATTGGATGAACTTTTGTAATTGCCCCTGAATGCAGGATGAGTCATGAAACATTTGAAACCATTTACAGAGAGAAAAGACTGGGCTTTTGATGTGAAGATACTCTGATGCTGACCCTTTGACATGTGTTTACACAGGGACACACGATTAAAACTGGGGAAGTGTATTTTTCATATCGTGGGAACTTTTAATGAGGAGATGGATCAAAGTGGACATGTGAATGAGAACATGAAATATTAACCAGAGATGTTGTCTCAGACGTGTTGAATTCGGCCAGACAGCTACCTAAAAAATATCCAAAAACTGAGTAACATGACATTCAGTTGCTGCTCTTTCTACTTTTACTTCTTCTCCAGAGTCCCTCAAAACACTGATCTCTGACACGATGGTGCATTGGGCTCAAGAGGTTGAGATGGAGGACCCTGAACTGGTTAGAGCTGTCTTCTCATTGCTGCACCGCCAGTATCAGGGCCTTGGGGGCCAAATGGCAGGACCCCTCTGCAGAGCCTACACAATCAGCCAGGCATCGGTAGAAGACACCATGGCTCTTCTGTCCTCCCTGAGCCAAATCCGCTCCCTCCTCAGTGTGCGCATGGGGAAAGAGGAGGAGAGGCTGATGATCAGAAGACTAGGGTAGGGGGACATTTGTAATGCTTTATTTGACACCTCTTGATTTATTAAGATCTTGTAATTATTTGTATTGATTGATTGATTAACTTGTAGCATATATGCATCATGATGTGTAAAATATCCTTACATTTGCTTTCCAATTTTTTACTTTACATACACTGTTTTATGTGCAGAGACATCATGAATAATAAAGTTTTCTACCAGCACCCCAACCTAATGAGGGCACTGGGGATGCATGAGACTGTGATGGAGGTGATGGTCAGTGTTCTCGGAGAAAGGGAATCAAAGGTGAGAGAATAATTTATCGTGATAATATGGAGAAAATGTGTGTAAGAAAGACACAGGTTATTTTATTAGCTGTGACAGTATTGGTATTCCATAGGTCATAATTCAAAGTTGAGGGTAAATCATGTGTTATAGCTGATATGCATCATTAATAGGGTAATAAACCCTGCAGTAAAGTCAGCTGTACCATCTACTTCCTCCTTTCTTTATATCCATGAATTGATTTTCTTTTAGGAGATTACTTTTCCCAAGATGGTGGCGAGCTGCTGTCGATTCCTGTGTTATTTCTGCCGCATCAGCCGTCATAATCAGGGAGCCCTGTTTGACCACCTGAGCTACCTGCTGGAAAACAGCAGTGTTGGATTGGGTATATCTTATTCTCTCTTCTTTACACTACAGAACTTCACTCAAGAGATGTTCAACTTCACTATTGAGGCCATAGCTAGTGCTGCTCTTGCAAGGATGTAACTTTGAAAGTTTGACTAAGGTTGTCTACAAAGTAAAAAAAATATTGCAGGACCTGTATTTTCAATCAATCAATCAATTTTATTTATAAAGCCCAATATCACAAATCACAATTTGCCTCACAGGGCTTTACAGCATACAACATCCCTCTGTCCTTTGGACCCTCACAGCAGATAAGGAAAAACTCCCCCAAAAAACCCCTTTAACGGGGAAAAAAAACGGTAGAAACAAAACGGTATTTAATTACACAGATATATGTGTTTTTGTGTCTGACCTTTTCACTTTTCGCTCGGGTATTCTGCACTCAAGGAAATAACCTTGTGAAGGTTTTAGGATGGCAACCCCATGATAAAAAAAAGCCCCAATATCCTGACATTATATATATATAGTTTATGAGTTAGTGTTCAGATTGTTTTATGCCTTCATCCCTTAGCTTCACCTTCCATGCGTGGGGCCACTCCCCTGGATGTGGCAGCAGCCTCTGTTATGGATAATAATGAACTGGCCTTAGCGCTGAGGGAACCTGACCTAGAGAAGGTGAGTTTATTATTCTGTGTCTTCCTCCACAATACTGCTGTTAATAGATAAGTGCTCTGGTTTGCTATGAACATGCTCTGCCATTCCATATTATTTTGCATTTCACTCAGTTCTGTTATTAATGTTATGGTGGCTCTGTCATTGTCTGTGAAATCTTCATAGTCTTTGCTCTACCCCATTACAGTAGCTGGAACAGCCCAGTAGCTGTGAAACTAATCCAATCTACTACCCAGGTGGTCCAGTACCTTGCTGGCTGTGGTCTCCAGAGCTGTCCGATGCTAGTGGCTAAAGGCTATCCTGATATCGGATGGAACCCTGTGGAGGGCGAGCGATATCTGGATTTTCTACGTTTTGCTGTCTTCTGCAATGGTAACCAGTTAGTGCTACCCACAGCTCTCCCATTCAAAATAGATGTCATGTGATAGGACATTTACATTTATATAAATATATCATTCTGAATTTACCTAATTAACCGAATTGTCCCATTACTGAAATGTGGGTGGCCTAAGTTATTTTCTTTGCCCATTTGTCTTTAAGTGAAATGCATTTTTTGGTAGCCTTTAAAAACTAATGTATTTCACTAACAGTATTATTTATGTATTCATATATTCAGTTATAGTATTGACTTGTAACCTGTTCAGGGCATTTATTACACCTGGGATGTTTGCTACGGTGCTAGAATAGCAAGAGCCAAATACAAAGTTAAAAAAGCACAAGAGGCTGCATCATGTCACGCTCCCAATTAAGTCAACAATTTGCAGTAGAGGTAATTAACTCTCTGCTGCTTCTACTATTGATTTTTCTTACTCTGAAGTGGTGCCCAGACGGCATCCATTCAAATTGTCCTTGAGGGTGTCGACAGTTCAGCCAAATGGGATTGGATTTACATACCAAGTGCCTTTCAGTGATTTCGGCTGTGCCTCTTTAAGACAGTCTTTAAACTCCACATTCTGTATGTTGATTTTATTGATGGTCTTGGTGAGTTTGATTTCCTCTCCTATGAAATCAATATGAATCTCTGAGTGAAATAGGATCTAAAACAAACAAATGCCCTCCCACAGAAGCCAAAATTTCATCCAGTCCACCTGATGGTTAATTTTCATCTTTTGTGCGTTTCTTCACCACAGGTGAGAGTGTAGAGGAGAATGCCTATGTGGTGTTGAGGCTGCTGATTCGTCGGCCTGAGTGTTTTGGCCCTGCCCTGCGAGGTGACGGGGGAAATGGCCTCCTAGCAGCCATGGAGGAAGCCATCAGGATCTCAGAGGACCCTTCTATGGATGGACCTTGCACCACCTACCAGTCCAACAGAACACTGTCAGTATTAGAGGCTGAGCACTACCCCTTTTTTGTATTTGTGTGCATGTATGTAAGGACACATAGTTTAATATGTTAGGCACTAAATTAGGAAACACAAATGTGAAAATGCTGCATATATATTAGCCAATGATGTTTTCTTAAAATAAATTGAAAAGGATAAATATGGCAAACACCAGAAACACCTATGCATGACAAGCTGTCTTATGCAGGATTCAGACTCCACGACTTGTTTGTCTGTTCCGACAGTGTGCGTACGGGGAAGTTCTGTTGTTGTCTATTGTCATGGCAATGGCCGATGTTGTGCAAGTTGAGCGTGAGTTGAAGTAAAAGCTTAAAATGTAAAGTTTGTTTTTGTTATTGACCTAACAGTTTTAGTTAGGGGGGTAATGGTACACAGAAGTCAGGGTTTGGTTCATACCCTGGTGTAGGAGTCATAGTTTGGTGCAGGTTCAGAACAGCAGAAAAAACAACCAATGCATGAGGGTACGGTACTTTTCATTTGTTTAGAACTAACAGTATGGCAAGTTTCAAAGACAGACAAAATTCTCTTGCTTGAGATTGAGGTCGTATTTTACCCACCAGAACTTTTGTAAACTATTTTCATTATAAAAACAAGGACCTTTCAAACACCTCTGTTTTACACAGTACAAACACTCAACAAACACTTTTCAAAAAGACAATGGGTCACAACAGGCTATAAAACTGAAAAGCAACTCTAATGCCAATGTATGTATTTTCGCATTTGGATGTGTTTACACTGACAATCCTCTGCACTGGTGGAGTGACGCTGGCACACTGTCCTTATTTTACACACAACCCTCTCTCTGTTGCTTTTGTTGCTGACCAGTAATTCAAAGGCGAGCCCTCCGGCTCCGCCGTTTCATTTGTGCTTGCTGTAATGTGACAGACTTACACACCAATCTGCTTGTTGTGCTAACCTTATCACCTATTCTTCTGCTTTTTCTTTGGTTTAGCACGATTTGCATTCCAAATGTTGCATTACTGCCAAGCACGGGATTTAAACTAAATCTCCACTAACTAAATTAAACCCTTTTCTCACTCTACATAATATTCTCCTTTTTCCAGGTGTTTGAGGGAGCTTTAAAGCTTCTCTCAACTCTTACTGCACATCTCCTGTAACGTCCACTGCATCTAGAAATCTTGCTACATCTATAACTATGTCAATTTTCTTGGATTACCTTTAACTCCAGCAGTCTCAGCACCTGTTGCTAAGAGCAGACAGCTAAAAGAGTCCAGGCGGTGCTCATGTTCATAAACTTTGGTTCCACATTCTGGCATTAATCTTCATACTGAGTAGTGTATTTTGCATGAACTTGCATGCACTGAACCTCCACCCCTGTACCGTGATAGTTCAGCAGGAACACACACATGATTACAATTTTAGTGCATCACCTTTTATTTTCTATGTTGAAGTGTAGAGAAATATTCATAAAATACATTTTTATTGTTTTCCGTGTTTTCTTAATTTCTGCTGCATCATTTTTCACAAAAAAATTTAAGCTCACTGTTGTGCTGGTTATGCATTGAAAGTTTATTGGCAAATGGAAACAGTGTTCAAATGGAGTAAAACATTGTACTGGGTATAAGCCTGTTCAGCACCCTGTTTTCATGCCCGATGATAATAAGTCTCAAGAGTAATTTTCTCTCAGGCTTTTTGAGCATTTCTTGGCTGAACGCAGCATCTGTATTCAGCCAACCATCCCTCAGTAAACAGAGGTTAAATAAGCTAAATACAACAAGGCAACAGTTTAATGACACTGCTCATTTTTTAAGATGCGTTATTCAGGATTTATGTGGGGTGGGAGCAGAGCACTGCTCTGTCTGCATCTCTTCGATTTTACAGTCAGAGTTACAAATAAACAATCAAGTCATTAGGGAATAAGAAGGAAAGATCTTATCTCACTAATGAGCTGCTGTATTTAGGAATAATCAATAATTTGATTATGTAAAAAAATGATGAATAATGATTTATTTAAGTTTGCTGACAAGCTTGTGACAGTTATGTTTGTTTCCTGTAACAGAGATGTTGTCCAGGACAATGATGATGACCTCATTCACATGGGGCATGCCATCATGACCTTCTACTCGGCCCTTATTGACTTGCTGGGGCGCTGTGCTCCAGAGATGCATGTGAGTGTTTTCCCAGCTTTCAGAAGCAGCTTCTGCACCAACATCCACTGATGTCTCAAACAGTAAAACGTAATGGAGAAAGTCCGCAAAGTGCTTTTTAAGTAATGAGCCAAACAAAAAAACATTTTTATTGCTTTTACCTTTCCACAAAACGGCCTGGTCCACATACTGTATGTTTAGACATAAAACTGAAGCTATGAATCAGTTTTCATCTGATTGAACTCCATAATGTTGAGACTCATGTTGTATCATGTTACATCAATATATAGTATGATGGACAAATTTTACAAGAATAGATTGTAGCTGCTGATAGCACCGTGCATCACTTGCAACTGCTATCTCCCCCGTCTCAAGGTCAGATTCACAAAAGATACTGCGCAAATAATACTACAACCCAAACACACCCATGAAGCTGAGTGCACTTTGCCCTTTATTTGTGTCTGATTGCAAATATCCATGTTGCAAAATGTTGCCTTGACACCAAGAGCACAGTAACGCAGTATCACAGAACAATGGCAGAGGGAAAAAGTAAAATTTTCAGACCACGAGCCAAAGGTCCTGACCGACAAGGTGCAAAGGCATTCCTCAAAACTTAAGGCAAGGAATTTAAACCTGACAGAGACAAGCCATGTATGAAGCACACTGGCAGAATGAAATATCAAATTCCAGTTTTCACCAACTCTCTAAACATGCAGACAATTTCACTGTAACTGTGTCTGACTTAAATTGCTAATCTTTGTGAATTGGACTGTTATTGCATTGAGACTCATTTGCATAGAAAGGGCCCAGTGTTGTGCCAAACGTATGCGTATTTTCTCAATTAAATCAGTGAAACTTGTAGAGACTATTTCCTTGTCAGCACAGTTAGGGTTGCATTTCACCCTTTTTTGGTGCTTTGAGCATTGCATGTTTGCAAATCACCGACCAATAACAATGTCTTCTTCTGAATCGTCATCCAGTTGATTCAAGGTGGCAAAGGAGAAGCTATCCGCATCAGAGCCATTCTGAGGTCGCTCATCCCGATTCAGGATCTCGAGGGAGTCATCAGCATCTCCTTTCAAGTTCCTTCAGTGTCTAAAGGTCAAATAAGAGGATCTTACTACAATAAATTAAGCCATCACATGAAGAAGAAACATGCCCTGTCTGCTATGGCTGCATATTCAATTCTGATTTTCTTAAAGATGTGATTTTTTTGTAGTTACAGTGTCCCTTTGACTTTCCTATCATATGACTGGGGTGGGAAACTCCAGGCACCATCCAGTACATAATGGTGATGGCAGTAGCTGAGTCTGGACATGGGATCAACACACATTGTGTAGATAAATGTGGAATTCATGTGGTCCCAACATTTGATCTTTACTTTTCATTTGTTTGTCCAGATGGTGTGGTGGTTGAGCCTGATCTATCTACAGTGTTCTGCCCAGACCACAAGGCAGCTATGGTTCTATTCCTGGACAGGGTGTATGGCATCGAGAACCAGGATTTCCTTCTCCACCTACTTGAAGTTGGCTTTCTGCCTGACCTTCAGGCAGCTGTCTCTCTTGACACTGTGAGCAGAGAAAATTATGTTTTGCTGTCCCGTTCAGCTGCTTGATAGATCCAGTGTGACACTGTAGGAGTGACCTGTGACTTTGTATTAATCCGAGCTGCGCCCCGTCACCCATGAAAAATATCCTGTCCTCCCGTCCCTCGCATTGACCTTACCATATCAAAACATTAGTTATTGTTAAAAATCCTGTTTAACATGATTTGATGTATCAAGTGCACTACCTTAAATCAAACATGGTTTTCTCAAATCAAAAAAATATTTGTGCACTTCACAAAGATGTCTTCTGATTAATTAGTGGTTTGTTTTTCATGAAACTTTAGAGTATGTATCCCTCCTGATAAAAGCTGATTTCTCACCTTTTATCTTTACCCTTTGAAACCTGAGCAAATTAGCGACAAGTTAGTAAAAATAGAAAATTAAAAAATAAAAGTAGTCATAAAAAAGTTTAGAAAGTATAAGATAACTTAATTTTAACATTTAATAATAACTATTATTAATATAGTTTTTCCTTGCTTTTTTCTTTTTTCAAAATTATTTTCTAAATCTGTTAATTATTTTTGCAAATTGTTCCTCCTTTTTTTTTTTTTTTTTTTACCAAGTTGCTCATTGCCCTTTTCCCCGTGTTTCTGAAAAAAATCACACCAATTTTCTTAACGTTGAAAGGTTTTAATACTTAGAAAAGGCTTATGAATGCAGCACAAGAAAAGTGATGTCGCTTCAGGTCTAAAAGGGTTGATATATGTATCTTTGTGTTCAAACTGAGGAGACATTGGTTGCATTCCTGATCATGGTCCTCACTGCTATGAAATACCATTTAAGTAAATTTTAGATATATGAGTAAATATATAAATGAATAAATATACCTATAAAATAAATAAAAATGGCCATGAAATAAATCCCTAAAATAAATACATAAAGCCATAAATATATAAATATATAAATACATGTAAATATAAATGAGTCAGTATTGTTTTATAAATAAATCTTTTTTTAAAGTATTTTTTTCCCCACAGAACTACTTTTATGTATTTCAGGGGACTTTTATTTCATTATTTATATTGGGATTTATTTTTTTTCCATAGGCATGTTTGTAAATGTATTTATTTATTATTAACTTAAATACATACATTTCCTGTTGCTGCCTCCTCCCTCCATCTTGTCTGTTTAGTTCCACTTGGTCAACTTGACTCTTGTAAGTGTAACCTCTCTTTCATTGCAGGCTGACTTAGGATCTACTGACATGGCTCTGGCCCTCAACAGATACTTGTGTACATCAGTGCTTCCCCTGCTCACCAAATGTGCAGCTCTCTTCTGTGCTCTAGAGGACCATGCTCTCCTGGTGGATTCTCTCATCCAGGCAATCTACAGCCTCTCCAGGGCTCTTAGCTTGACCAAGGCTCAGAGAAACACTATTGAAGACTGTTTGTTGGCTGTGTGCAGGTAGTGCTTTTAGTTGGTGAAGCAACCCGCAGAGTTGTTGCTGCCTGCAGATAGGATATTGATTTTTCAGCAAGTCGCTGATAGATTATACATGTTATGGTTACAGTGTTATTGAGCTGCATCTTATGTGGTCTGCCATGTTTAATTTATGAATTATTGCACCATTAGCTTCCTGTATCCACTGACTTGACCGTGTTTTTGCTGTTTGACCATATCATATGTTGACAAGAGAAATGAGAAACGGCAACAAATTATCGTTAATTGATGCAGATACATCAGCACACTCCTATTTCCACTCATTAAATTTAATGAATCACTGTAAAGCCTGTCTTTGCCCAATTTAGATGGAATTTACCAAAGTCAATCAAAATGTTGACAAATTAATTAACATCTTGCCCACGGCATCTTCTCAATTATTTGTGATACTCATCTGAGACATGATAGTCAGTCACAACATCATTCATCTGGTGTGTCTATGTGTGTGTGTGTGTGTGTTTGTTGGTGACTAATTCTGCTCTCGCTGGTGTCCTCAGTAAACTCCGGCCATCTATGATGCAGCCTCTTCTCCTACGTCTTGTCTTCGATGTTCCCCATCTCACAGACTACAGTCAGATGCCCCTAAAGGTGAATAAACAAATCCTGGTTTACTACAGTGTATGTGAAAATATATTAGTACACAAAGTTAAAGGTGTACTATGCAGGATTTTCTCTGAAAAAACAGACTCAAGCAAAAGCAGTCCCTTTCAATCACCACTTATGCCACACTAGAAGTGTATTTAATCAGGAGACAAATATGAATAAAGTAAAGATAATGTTTAGTACAGTATATGAGTGTACAGATTAACAGATGATTTGTGCTGGTTAAGATTTATCAGAAGTTTTTGGTGCTTCGACACCAGAGGGAGATTTCATGATTTTGGGACATCTGAGCAACAGCAAGTTAAATCCCCCCATGGAGTCCAGACACTGGCCGAGGATGTGGTGGCTGATTGCTCTGAGGTTGATGAGGCGGGCGAGGCTGATGAATCCGAGAAGACTAGGTGGTGATGGGGAGGTGCAGGGTGCTGCATGAAAGAACTACAGGCAGAAAAAGAACCACATTTGAAACGAGAAGCAGTAAGACGATAGGATAATGGAGAAAGTGTGTCACTGTAGACCAGCTGATGACTCAATTGACAGTCCTGGACAATGACAGCTAGAGATAGAGAGTAAGCATACATGCATGGAGTGAGCGGCAAGGTGAGAAAGAACAATCACAGCCTAAGCTGTACTGTATTGTCTACCTGACTGAACTTTTGCTAGAGCTTCATTTGTCTGCAGAGACTCTGTCCTCTGCCTGTTTTTTCTTCTTTTTTTAGTGTGTTTGGGTCAGTCCTGGGCACAGCGCACAACTGGGACTTTATGAAAAGGAAGTGACCAGTTGACAGATGTAAGCAGCAATAGGATGCTATGAAAACTGGGGGCACAGTGCCTAAAAAACCCCGCACATATAGCGTTAGAGTTAGCTGGGATTGGATTCCACTTTCGCTGGGGAAACTGTTACAAACAATAACTGACAATACCTGCATAGTATACCTTTAAAATGATACAATTTATTGACTGTGCATTAATCCTTTGATCCACCAGCTCTTGACCAGTCACTACGAGCAGAGGTGGAAGTACTACTCACTAGCTGGAGCGCAGGGTGACCAGGGTTTGGCCTCTGAAGAGGAGCTCCACCTGTCTAGAAAGTTGTTCTGGGGCGTGTTTAAGGCCTTGACAAAGACGGTAAACCATATTGAATACCTGTGTCAGTCTCAAAATCATGTCAAAAGTATTTACAATTAGTGTAATATTTATGTGAAGCACCGAAAAAGCTGCAGAAAGTGAATAAATGTTTCATTTTTTGACAGTGTGATAATACCACTGATTGAGCACCTCTGTTTTTTGCACCCTCCTTGAAGTTTATTTCAGGACAAACAGCAAAATCCGTATTTGATTTTCTACTTTAGTAAACTTGTAGAAGAAGCTGAGTGGAGGAAGATACAACACACTTGAGATTAAGAGTAAATTTTTCATATCCTTGTACGAAACCTCCCACCACTGCGCAGAGTTGCTGGAAATGTGAGAGACATAAGCAATAACTGAATGTTTCCTCAGTTGACTGCATGCATGCGCCAGCATATTTCTGACGGATACTTACCTGACTGAAACATGAAAAACATCAAAGAGCTAAGTTCATAAGATCATTTCCGTCCCTCTTGTGACCCACATCAAACGGCCTCAGAAACCGAGTCAGCACTGCACAGAAGAAACCCTTGAGAGAAATATTAGTGTGTGTAGTATAGCGTGGGCGTATAGTGTTTCAGTTGCCCTATTTATTTTATGATGCTTATTGTAGAGTGGCTATAGCTGGAAAATAACTTAAAATGGAGACTTATTTGAATAAAATTGTACTGTAAGGAAAACTGGTTATATAAATTAGATTTTATCCCAGCTGACTTTCACTGTGTTTACAACCACTTGTGTTACTCTTTCCTGCAGTAACCAGACTTTTTAAACATAATGTAAATAACAAACTTCTCTTTTGTTAGGATGAGAGAATTAACAGCTAGAATTCAATTTGAGAAATGGTATTTCTTGACCACTTATTTAGGTTTCCAACACGGTCTCTCAGCCGAATTATTTCTGCAACACGGGTAGGTCTTTGTATCCAAAATAATTAAATTCAGTGTTATTAAATTGGAATTGAACAATTTTTTTTTTTAATTTAAAATTAAAATTAAATGACAAACAAAGTTGGACATATTTTGCAAAAACTAGGCTTGACCAAAATCCAAATGTAGAGGATGTCAGCTCTGCAATATGCGAGATTTGGTTCAAATAATATATTTTCATTTGTGTATATAACCTATAATGTCATGTTAACACACTGGTTCAACAAATTAATGAACACTGCATTCTTGTAAAATTTGGATGCTGGCAAACATTTTTGTATTGTTTCTTCGTTTTACAGATAATGGAACAGCACGGACTGTTTAACATTAATAATTACAAACTTTGTTCACACTTTATTTTACTCCAGAATTATTTCTGCCATTTAATTGCCCAGCTTCCCCTGACCCTGTCCTATTGTGTCCTGTGCTGTCTCATTTCTTCTCTCCTTCCTCCTACACTACATTTCCAAACCACCCTTTCTTCCCCATCATCACAGCCCTATGAGGCTCAGTTATTTAAGCTGAGTGTCCACTGCCTGGCTGCAGTGGCCAAGGCCCTGCCTCCTGACCAAATGGACTCAGGCTGTTCGTCAAGTGCAGAGAGAAATGCCTCGATGGACACAGATGGACACTTTGACCCGCAGCCTGTAGATACCTCCAGGTAAGATACTGACCAGGGCTGTTTATTAATCATAGATAAAGAACAGCACATATTGATTCTTGATGACCTGCTCTGCTCCAGGTAAAGTAATTTGGTAGAGAGGCTTAGCTTTGGGACAAAATGTCATAATCAAAGAGGTGTGGCTATGAAAATGCATTTTTATACTCCTGATAAATCTATCCAATAATGAAGAGCAGTATTATCTGAATGTGTTTACTGTGGGATAGAGCTACATGATGCATTATTTCTTTTCTTGCACCAGTGTGTCAGTGCCAGAGAGACTGGAGTTTGTTGTGAACAAGTATGCAGAGCATACTCATGAGAAGTGGTCACTGGACAAGGTAATGTCACAATAATTATCCTTCAAATCTTAACAGCCTATTAAAGGTTTAGTTCAGGTCTATTTTAAGATTGCTTATATGAGTTACTTATCCTTAGTCAGTCGATTACCTACAGGAGATGGTGGTCGGCACGCTCCCAGTTTGGAGAGGCAGGCAGGTGCACCACCACAGAAGCTAAGCAATGAACTGCTATGGACAGGGGTAGCAGCACACTCGGGTGCCACCAAAACAACAAGACTGAGACCTTCTTGAAGAGGTGGTCTTGGTCCAGTTACAAACGAACTCTGGTACGGTTCATTTGTGGTGAGAATGTGTTCCAACCTTGATCTGAACCAACTGCAATCACATTATTGCCTTAATATGCACATTCAGCACATTCAATGCATCAAAACATTGTTTTCTAGTTGGAGCCGCGCCTCGTTTTCAAACTGTATGGTTTGCCTTCAACGTTTTTTTTACTTCCTGGATTTTTCCTGCATAGAAATTCTGACCAATCAAGAGCAGCCCTCTTGCACAAGGCATTTTATCTGGTCCGCCTGTAAATGCTGCCATGAGAACATGAACTAACTCTAGGCAATTATGCAACTTTGTAACAAATTAGTCCCTGATTTGGACCAGAGACAACTCTAGGTCTGAAAGCACCCTTAAAGGGTAGTTCGGATTCACCAAAGTCACACAACAACACAAACAAGTTAACCGATCAAAGCAGCATTAGACCAGCAACTCCTGTTTTGTGTGAGGTAAAATTACTGTTTTTGTCACAGGAGTCTGGTGGCTTTGAAGAGAGCATAGATGGATATAACCGCTTGACAGCAAGGTAAAGCTGTGAAAATACTTTAAATATAGCATTGCTTGAACTGATATTAATATTTTTAGATGGCTAAAATACGTTTTTCTACTGCCCCCTCCGTCTACAGCAGTACATTACTTGGCCTCTGTGGTGGCACTGCCTGCCTGCTTCTCCAAACTGACATCTACTGTAGGTAACACACTGACAATGTGTAAGTACCTCATACAACCCCACTTCAAAAGATCCAAACTCTCCCTTTTAAGTTGACAAAGTAGAGGTGATGTATGATATCCTGTTCAGGCCTGAACCACTTAAGAATACATTTGAAAGATAATTTGTCCGATTGACAGTGTCAAAACATCTGTCTGTGTTGTGTGCTTGAGCTAATATATTGATGTCAGCATATTTTCAATGTGTGATTTTCACCAAATCTGGGTATTATCTCTGTCAGTTTGCCAACGGCTGGGTTCACGGGGAGCAGCTATGCGAGAACACCAAGGTTCACCCACTCCTCAAGCCATACAGGGCTCTGGCTGAGAAGGTAGAGTGAGAAGTCAAAAAGATAGAAAAAGAGAGCAGTGAACTGAGAAATCCCAGAGGCACTTGCATACCAAATGTGGTGTAAGTAATATAAAAGATTAAAGTGCCTCGGTTCATGGTCTTTGATGTGTGGAGTGGACAACAGACTTCTTATAAAGTGTTTTTAATATCAAAATAGTTTGAGCATGTTGTGCTCTTCTGCTGTCCTTTGATGACCTGCCATGTTTAGGTGTAAATGTGGGTTTATTTATATGTCTGCCAGGAGAAGGAGGCATACCGCTGGGCCATTAAAGAAACAATAAAGAGTATGCTGGCCTTTGGATGGACCATAGAGAGAACCAAAGAAGCAGATGCATTTGGCACACATACCTGTACACGCAGAGTATCTCAGTCTGGACAGGTATGCGTGCTTTATAGACCACATTCACTCAGCATCTGGGCACCAAACCTGTCTTTTCTCTTAGAAGTCATCTAGTTCACAACTAAACTTCTTCTGACTTTATTTAATTGAGTCATCAGCCAATTGTTCTCTGTTGTAGCTGTCCTTTGAAGGAGCATCAACCTTCAGCCCCAAACCTTTGGACATGAGCAGCATCACCTTATCATGGGATCAGTGTGTAAGTATTTTTTTATTACCATATACACCATTGAATTAGGTACAACATTCATTATACTTTAGAGGAGCAGTGTGTAAGATTTAGGGAGATTTAGTGGCGTCTAGCAGTGAGGATTGCAGATTTCAACCAGCTGAAACTTCTGATTAGAATTTCTTAAGCATTCATTGTCTAGGAGTTTTTTTTACCCGTAGCCAAATTATCCCTAGAGGTCTCCTTCTTTCCAAAACAAATGGACCAGGTGATTAAAACTGGTAAAAAAAGTGCAAGTGCCTGCTATGTGTGCTCACCTTATTTCTGATCCAGACAATCAGGAGGTTTGTCACCAGGAGCCAAATTATCTGCAGAGGTCTCCTCCTCTCCAAAACATACAGACCCGGTGATACACACTGGTAAAAACAAAAAGCAGTCTCACATTACAAATTACAAATCTGTGATGCTGTTTGGCATGTCCGGGCCAGGCCCTTAGCCCAACACCTGCTAATGTGTGCTCACCTTTTTTTCTCTGGAAACCTAAGATCCAGACATTAGGGACATTTTTCGGGAGCTGAATTATCCGCAGCGGTCTCTTCCTCTTCAAAACAAATGGACCAGATGATTAAAACTGGGAGAACAGTAAATACAGCAGTTTCACATTAAATGTCCGATGCTGCTTGTCACGGAGGGGCTTCTAATTACCGTGACTGGCGCCAAAACTGGCCCTATCTGGAGCCAGTGTTTGGTTTGTCCATCTGGGCTTCTGTAAAAACATTGTGATCTCCGTGGATGAGGAACTGCTCCATATGTATATATAAATGGCTCAATCTAAGGTAAGAAAAACACAACAATTCTCATTTTCAGGTGATTATACACTAAAGAGAGCACACTTATTATATTCTGTTCCATTTCTACCTATATATCCTCCTAAATCCTACACACTGGACCTTTAATCCTGGCAAACAATCTGCAGAGGTGCTAACGCTTGCCAATTACCAGTGTTGCTGTTGTGTTGGCAGATACATTTAAATAATCCTAATGCCTTGTATTTAAACAGAGTAATAAATGTGAGTTGTCAGATGTCATATACGCGGCTTAAGGCAGTTGCAGTCTAACTGCACAGGCATAATTGTCTTCTTAAACAACTCAGTGACACAAGTGAAGTCACGTTAGAGAGATAAATCATCTGCCATTGGTAACATGTTTGGAGTGCTGTGTAATCATATTTGGGGTACAGGGCTCATTTTCCTTGATGTATTTCCTTGACAAAAGTAGTTTGCCTATTAGAGGAGAGGGCCTGGACTCTCCTGCTGGTCCATTAGGACACCGTCTGATGCTTAAAAAGGGAGTGAGAGGAGCTGGTATGTTTGGCCATTATTTAAACTGGCTTGGTGTCTGCATCTCTGGCATACTTGTGCCAAAAAAGTATAGTAAATAGATTTTACTTTATTCTCTTTCTTGTCATTCTCTGTAGGGTATGGCAGAACAGTTGGCTGAAAACTACCACAATGCCTGGGCTAAGAGGAAGAAAGTAGAACTTGAGAGTAAAGGTACCATAACAAGGTGTCAGCAGCTATTCTACAATATTTCCTGAAGTCCTCTCCTCTCCTCTTGCCTCGTCACCTCTCTTCCGCGGGAGCACAACAGTTAACAAAATTGCAATGTACTTGACCCATTTCTGTTCTCAGGAGGGGGTGGCCATTCAATGCTTGTACCCTATGATAGCCTGACTGCCAAGGAGAAGACTAAATTCAGAGAAAGAGCCCAGGATGTCCTTAAGTTCCTTCAGCTCAATGGCTACACTGTGTGGAGGTGAGTGCAGAATGAGCGTATGATTGTAAAAGGGCAATGTGATACAGTATGGTGGGTAGCAGAGGTGGGTAGCAAATGAGGTCCTCCATTTTCATTTCACAGTAGTATGCAGACAATTTAGAAAAATAAAATACATAGTCCAGATTGTACAGTAATTAAGGTTAGAGCTCACTGTCTTTTCCAGCGGTTGTGTATCATTATCCCAGTTTGATTTCACTCCCTCTGCAGGGATCGGAAGACAGTGGGGATGGACTTTCCAGCCGTAGCCAACTGCTTTGGCTACAGTCTCCTTCAGCGGCTGCTGTGTCACACCGAGGATGCCCAAGAGCACGTGTTGGAGCTGGGTAACATGATGCATATGAAAAAAAAAAACACATAAAAGAATTTTTTACATTATGCATTCCAAAGGTATGAGTGCACCATGTAGCCGACAGTGTAAGGTTTTGAATATTTCACTGAATCCTCACATTTTATCAACACCGAGCAACAGTCTCTTGAGTCTTCATTCAGCAAGTCTGATTTAGGGTAGTTGTGATGTGAACCATCGCAAAATGGCTCACAGCATGCCTGGGTATGTGAACTTGTCTGATGTAAAAATGACCCAGAAACACTTTTATTATTAATATTTTTCTATTTTGTAGTACCGTGGTTGCTTAAGTCTTTGTCTTTGATTTAGTATTTCATTGTGTTTTTCTCCCCAGAGGTGATGCAAGCCAGAGGACAGATGTCTAAAGGAGAGAGAGCTCCACACCAGCAACCACTTATTTTTTTTCCCAAGGTTTGCCTCAGATCAAATACATATCTAAATACAGTTGAAATCGTCTGTCTGATATGAGACCTGACATTGATCTAGCCTCCTTCCAATTTCCCTTTTCCAATGCCATTTTTTTCCCTCCCTCTTCCTGGCCTTTTTTCTTATTTCATTTATGTCATCTAATTAGTTTTGTTATGTGGTTGCTATGGGCAACCCCTCTAAGTAAAACCTTTCATGGCTGTGTAATTTATTTAACCATTTTGGAAATCCATGTGGGCGTGTCGATTGCCATCAGGACATTGATTAAAGCTTCCCACACAATTCTGCCTCCGAGGAGGCAGCAAATGAAAAGGGTCTATTTTTCATTGATGGGACCCACTGAGTCAGACCCAGTAGGCCAATACCGTGAACAGTCATGTCTCAGATCTCTACACCCCACACCTCCCACTCAACCACACACTCACACAACCACGCACGGCTCTGTCTGTCTGGCTGTCCATCTGGCTGTCTGTGAACTGCTAGTGCTTTATAAGAGGAGCTAATGGAGTACAAAATGTTATACTCTTTTCTCAACAGGTCCTTGAGAGGTCTATCATTACGTTTCATGTTAAACACAAGGTTCCTGCGGGTCTTTAAAAAGTCTTAAAATGCACTAAATGTATTAATTTAAAAATAAGGCCTCAATGTGTATAAAGATGTCTTGTCTTTCTGAAGTCTTAAAATGCTAAGATGGGAAATAGGATTTTGTGAATTGTTTTTTTCTGATGTTGCATTGCAAGATGTCAAAATTAATTTGTAACATATATATATATTTTTTTTTTTTTAAATATTCACCAAATATCTCTCACACTAACGTCACACAGATCAGGATAGTAGAACAAAGAAAACCTCATATTTTGTGTCTAGCAGAGAAACTCAGAGCAAACCACTGTCTGCTAGCTAGCTGTCACTGTTCCCCAGACAAAATAGGGAAGTGCAAATTAGACAAAAATTGGCTATTAAACCAAGATTTTGCAGCAAGGCTGAAACCGGAACAAGGCAATGCATATGAGGCTCTGTGCATTTTATGCAAAAAGTGTTTAATACTATGCACAGTGGGGATCAAGGCTGGGGAATCCCACATGCAGAGTGAGAAATATAAAACTGCCAAGAAAACCTTCCAACAAACAACAGGTACTTCCTAGTCCTGTTCTACCACCACTTGTCTGCCACAAGACAGATAAAGTCGTAATGATTTTTGTTGACTCGTGTTATTTCTTCCCCTTCAGTTTGGGTCATTGTTAAATCAGTCTTAAATTTAATTCAAAGTGGCAATAAAAAGTCTTGTCTTCAGCTGTAGGAACCCTGTAAACAGGCAGGTACTGCTTGTACCCTGAACCTCTTGAAGACATTCACATCAGCTGAGTGAAGAAAACAAGTTGAACGAACAAGTGATAAACAAGTCTTCCAGGGTTATCAATCTGATGTAATGGTGCAGCTGTAAAACGTGTCTTTGAGATATTTTTTCCCAGTGATTGTGATGTAGCTTCAATACAACACGGGGCCAAACAGGTACAGAATGTGATGTTGTCAAACAGCATGTAAACTTAAAAATAAAACTTTGAACTCAGTCAGACAAAATTTTATGGGGAATATATATATTAATACATGCTGATTTATGAAGTGACCCGGCTATTACTCCGATCAACAGGTTGTCCTTCCTCTTTTGGAACAATATGTGAAGAGCCACCGACTGTATTTCCTGTCCACTTCCCTCTGCTCAAGTGGTAATAGAAGTCACGCATCCAAAAAGGAAAAGGAGATGATTGTAAGGTGTGTTTCAACCCCCAACAAAACACACAGTAGTCTGAGACAATTCCTCAGACATGTTTTGCATAATAATTCAACTGTTTTATTTAAGGCTTTTTTTTCTTTAACAGAAGAGCCCTCATTCTTCTGATTTCGTGTCCTGTAATTCCTTTTTTCCACTCCTCATTACTTCACTTGTCTTTTCTCCTCACATCCAGCCTCTTTTGTAAGCTTGCAGCTCTAGTAAGACACAGGATCTCACTCTTTGGTAAGGATGGTGTGGAAATATTCAGACATCAGTTTGTCCCACTTGTTCTCTTTCACAGCTGATTCCTTGGTTTGCTGTTTAAGATGTCTGAGATTCTAATGCCTTGTTTGTATATGCATGTTATGCATATTTTGTGTGTGTTTTTCCAGGGAACGAAGCCTCATCAGTTGCAAGCTGCCTCCATGTTTTGGCTCAGGCTCTTGATGCCAGGTAGCTAGATGGCACTACTGTCCTACTCTGCCTGAATCGATCTCCCTGCTCTGCCTGCGGTCACATCAGTGTCACACCACCATGTCTGAGGATGAGATGACTGGTGTAATTGAGCCACTGATACACTGATGCTATCTAATTGTGGATGATATCACTTTTACTCCCTGAGGACAATGCCTCTGAAGCATGACGCTAGAGGTAGAATCTAGGCTCAGAAGAGATTGATGTCATTTGGACTTGTCTGCAGGATAGATTAGCAACTAATTTAGTTCATTTGACTGGTTTTATTTTAGCCTGCCAAAAGACACACTGCATAACACTTTTACCTTTTAATTTCATACACTTTTGATTTCTATTTGTGCCTGTAATATTGCTTAATTTTGCAGAAAACAAATCAACTACTGTTTATTTAATTACAAATACATATGGAAGCCCATTTTCGCCAATTAAAAAAAAGTAAAACAACTTAGTATTGTTTCTCAATATTTTGAGAAAATTTGTTATTATTTTGAGTTCTTTTTAGTTAGTTAGTTAGTTAGTTAGTTA